TCAGGAGAGTTGACATTAGGAATCTCAGGTACACATGTGTCAAACACATGCTCAATATTTTCTTGGCTAAACACTAAACGCACATTTTGTTCAAAGTCTATAAAGTCTGGTCCAGTCAGATTATTTATATCTCAGATACTTCTCAATGATAAATTCGACATCCCTAAAAGCCTAAAGAAGTTCAGATAGAACGGGGATTAAAACTCATATAATAATTCATATGATCACATTTAGTTAACTAAATAGTATGGACTTTTAATTATTTAGCTCCCACTATTTTTCATGCTCTTTGACCCCAATAAAAAGAACATAGATTGTTTAGACAATCATAGTGGTCAAGATCCACATTCATACTATTAAAGTCCCAACTTTGGCTGATCACTGCAATAATATAATGGGTCGGTCCCTAGACCAATTGCGTCCAAGCAATTCTTGGTTGATCAATTTTTTTTAATTGATCGACATCCTTAAATTACATTGACGCTTTGATGACTCGTGCTAATTTAAGTAAGTCAAAACCATCACACGATCACAAACATATGTATCTATGAATTAGTTCTATACTTTGTCAAATGGAATAAACACTTTGGTGAAATATTCTTCAACGAAAAAATATTTCTATTGATTTAATTATGATGGGTGATGTCGTTATCTCAAATAAGACTTAAATTTTAATTTATGGGGAACGTTTGGCGGGTATTAAATTACTTAATCAAGATGCTAAAACATATTATCAAATAATATGTTGATGAGATCTAACTCAGACAGATAAATTAAAGCATGCAACATAAATCTAATTTATAAACAAATACAATAATCAAACAATTAATTAAACATGCTGAAATAACAATAATAGTCGGTTAAATAAAATTTGTCAAAATTAAATTGATTTAATCTCAAAGATAGGTGATCAAAACAATTTTAACATCTAACTATTACTCCGTATTTGAAATAAGGCATTTTAATCATAATTAAAAAGTATCAAAGACTCTGCATGCATTACAACCTGAAGACCTTTTGAACTTAATTAATCAAATTATTATTAAGCCTTCAAATAGTCTTTATAACAAATGCAACTTCTTGAGTCTTTGAGTGATTGAACTAACCTCAAAGGAAAATTCCTAATCTCCCTCTAATTCTACGGAGTATTACGAAAACCATCCTAAAACAAAAAAAGGAAGATCAAATCACAACTCTCAGTGGATTAATCTGCCAAAGAAAACGGAACGCGTATGGAGCACTAAGGGGAGAGTCGTCTTCTACCCATCCGACCAGATAGCAACGCGATTTCATCGTTTTCATCCGCCGGCTTATCTTCAACTTACCAGTATTGCCATCACAGATGATATTAACCAGGATGCAAAGACGTATCATAGTCGGGTCCGCCGCCATGGTAGATCATCCGTAAAAACGATAGATAGCAGCTTTATATCAACTTCAGATTTTAATTTCGAAAATAAAATCTTTAAGTTTGTTTAGAAATCGTTTGATTTCCGAAAACAAAAGGCAAAAATACTATTCAAAGAAAAACATATTTTTGACTTACGAATATATCTATCAAAATTCGTATAATGTCATTAGAATCAGTTTGACTCTGATACCACTGTTAGGAAATTGATGTAATGTACCTCGAAAGTACACCAGCGAAAGTTTAAAAGTTTCCCAAACAAATCTTCCCTAGCGGTGATCATCCTTGACCTTAGGTATCCACATGATTTCTCCTTTTCGAATGAACGGTTAGATCTCCCATACAGAAAGGCTAGGAAATCTCTTCATAGGGAAATAAACCGGTAATACTGAATCTAGAATACTGCAAGAAGGAGGATGTATTTATACTAGTTCTAAACTAGTTTACCAATCACAATGAAAGTCTTCCTAATTAATGAGTTCTAGTCCAACTAGGACTAATACCTCTCATTAATTAAACAAATAAATAAAATGAATAAACTTAATAAGAAGGGAGAAGTGGTTGCACGCCACTTTCTACTTTTATACCAAATATTTTGTAAAGTTGGGCATTACTAGGCTTTAAAACAAAACATTTTTTCAAACCTGGCAGTAAAGAACCACATGAGGATGTGGCAGCAAAGTCGCGGTGAGAGATAGATTTTCGATGCGTTGGCGATCACGTTGTAGTGATATCAAAATGTGTTGAACATGTGACCTCCTAACTTGCTTAAAATGCTAATAGTTATTTTTAACAAGATCGTATATATGTATGATTGATTATTTTCGAAATGAGGATCAAATTAATTAAGGGTATGGTTTAATTTATTAAAATTGCTAAAGTTGTGACTGGAACGACTGAAGGACTAAATGCGATACATTATGAACATTTCATGTTTCAAGTATATTCTATTAATTAAAATAGTTCTTGCTCTACTTTCAATCAATTCAATCACATAATCATTTAAGGCTTATTCTTATTTTAATTATAACCATGCATGAAATAATAGATTTAATAATTGGTAAAAAGGTTAGTAGAAAAATTGGAAAAATTATTATTATAAAGCTCTTAAGATGCTAAATCTATAACAGTGCTATTTCAGTAAATTGTATAATACCATGTGGACATTAGTAAAACATTTTTCAGCACAAGTTAAAGCGAATATGTCAAATATACAACCCCTCTCTTACATAAATTTGAGGCACAAAAAACTTGGTTACTCAATTTTTAGAGAACCTCTATTTGATAAGTACTAACCTTTTAGAGTTTTAGAGAACCTTTTTTATTCAAATATTACATACATAAATAAATTGTATAAATAAATTACTCAAAATTAATAATCTCACATGTACTTTTATAAATATACAAACACACCTCGTGTCTTACAAGTATGTTAAATAAAAAGGTGTGCGTAACTGGAAGCGTATATCATACAGCCGGATGCACGGTTGGCACTGTACATCTGGTGGCAGTTTTGTAATTTTGATGAAAATCATGGTTTCTCTTAAACGAGCATTGATGTAATTTGAATGAGCAGTTCTTTTGAGTGATAGGTGCCTAACAATGAACATCAATGATCTCTGCTTCATATCTTATAACTCAGTTTCTTTTTATTATTTTTTTTGTTTATAAAAAAATCTTAAATTATGTTTATAATTAATTTCAATATGTGAATCTATTGTACTATGATATTTTTGATATGTGCAACATTTTAAAATGAGCATAAAGCAGTACCAAATGAGCATACATAATTTACAAAATGAGTATAAAAAAATTCAAAACCTCATTTGTGTATGATCATTGATTTTGGGCATTAAATTTGAATCAGTATGAATCTAATATAAAAATTTGATGTAATATTATACTTCTGAAATATGCATGAATATGACATTTTAAGATGAGTGTACACCAATACCAAATGAGCATACACGAATTACGGAATGAGCATCGGACAATTCAAAAAAACTCATTTAAATCTCTACTATGCTCAACTTTTTATCTGTGTATACTCATCGGTAAAACTACGTATATACTCCATAAGAAAAAGATGAAAATGAGACACACGAGTCAAATCTAGGGTTGAGATGCCCTTTAGTCCCCGTCAATCCCGAAATCCACCATAGACCTTGATTGAGAACTCCATCATCAGATCCAGGAGGCGAGCTAAGTGAATCCCTGTGGCGAAGAAGCCACAAACTGCGTGAGCTGGGGACGACGACCATACATTGCGAGCGAAGCCTTCGAGGGACGAAGAAGAGATCCATATGGTGCGAGGGAAGCCTCCCGCGGACGACGACCTGTGCTGCGCAGAGAACAAAAAGTTCAGTTGTACCGTGCGCACGGTACCACGCGTAACTAAAGAATTTGATTATTTTTATTACTCAAATTAATTTTTAAATTATATTGATAACTTCATAACAAATTATTTTTATTATCAAGTTATATTGATAACTTTATAACTACTTTTTAAAACCGTAATTTTTAAAAACTTTTTATCTACCAACTTAATTCTCAGAAATCGAACTTGTACAATTAAAAGGGAGATTTTCTAAAATAGGAGTAAATGTAGGCGTGACTGTCAAATAGTTGCAGTACAATGCATTAAAAATGAACATATTTATTATAATTAATGACAGTATTTTTTAATCATGATGGTATTTTTCATACATGGATCGTTTTTAAACAGTGTCTGAGTTGAATATTTCATATGCAGTTTAGATAAATAGGCACTCGTAGTAATAAGATAGATTGTCTTTGCTCTGTTTCTGAGTTGTGTCACATAAGTATTGAATGAATTATATCTTATTTTTAAAATTTGAGAAAATAATATATAGTATGCATCAAATTTTGTTGATTTTAGGTTTAGATAGTGCTGATTTTTCAGAAGTCATAACTTTTTACTCGTAATGAGTTATGAAGACCATAGTATATCAAATCGAAGATAATTCAGATCTCTATACTCTCAAACTTTCAGCGGAGTCGGCTGACCCCCACCCTGACCCCCCTTGGCTCTGCCCATGGTAACAACTCCTATTTTGGAAAGAAAAACATAGTAGTCCTATTTTGGAATTCCAAACATCATTTGCTCCCATTTAGAGTAATTTACCCAATAAAAACAAAGCCATTTCTATCCCATTGTTTAATTTTTTAAAAAAAGCAGGTTGTATGCCCATGAAAGCAATTTTTATTATTATTAAATTAAATAAAAAAGAAATCAAAGGCACATAGTGCTGGCGTGACAAAAACGTTCACCCTTTTGTTGATGGATGAGTATTTGACTTCAGGGTGAAACTGAAAGTGTAATTTCTGTATTTGCTCTTTGCTAAGTGGACAATTAGTTGTGAACGGCCGATATGATTAAATATATATATGACTAATAAGTGCATGAAGATTTGGTAGTATAGAATCACATTTAGTGGCTTATAAATATAAGCTATGATGAGTAGATCAGATGATAACTTCTTATAATATACTGTGTGTGTGTGTATATATATATATATATATATATATATATATATATATATATATATATATATATATATATATATATATATATATATTCACTTATATAATGAGATATTTAAATATAGTGTCTATTACTACTAAGCACTAGTATTAGTTAATGTCAAAGAAAAGACATCATCAACAATTTAATGTTCTTTGCCATCTCTTCCTTTGACGCAAATACTATTATTAACCATGAACCACCTTCTCTTCCTTTGTCTCCCGATGATCTTCGTGGCTGCCCACGTTTTCAGCCGTTTCTTTATTCGCCGGCTGAGAAATCTCCCGCCGACCCCTTTTCCAGCGCTCCCTCTCGTCGGCCACCTCTACCTCCTACGGAAACGGCCGTTACATAAGGCGCTGTACGACGTCAGCAAGAAGTACGGCCGGGTGCTGTTTCTCCGGTTCGGGTGGCGCCCGATCCTCCTCGTGTCTTCGCCGTCCGCGGCGGAAGAGTGCTTCACTAAGAACGACATCGTTTTCGCCAACCGGCCGAGGCTCCTGGCCGGGAAATATTTGGGGTATAACTTTACTAGCCTCCCCTTTTTGTCGTACGGTGAGCGGTGGAGGAATCTCCGGCGAATCTCTACCGTTGAAGTGCTTTCCTCGTACCGAATCCAGCAGTTGGCCGAGATTCGCGCCCAGGAGGTCAAGGACCTGATTCGCAATCTCTTTCAGCTCTCGGCTTGTGAACGTATGGTGAGATCATCGGCTACTTCTAAGTTCTATTTATACATATTAATTTTTACAGAAACAATTAAATATCCTTAATTAAACATAGTAGTATCATGTTTTTTATTCCCTGAATGTGAGTAATCTGACAAGTTTGGAAAAAATGTCAAACTTGACAGAAATTTACTCTTATTCAAGGAATAAAAAACATGATACTCCTATTTTGGAATTTCAAAACTTTTTTACTCCTATTTAGGGAATTCTCTCTTAAACATAATAATCTTCAATTGTCATTCCATATACATGCACACTAATCTCGGCTATGACTATGGAAATGGTCAATGTTTTAAGATGAATTATACTCTCATAGACATCTAATTAATCTAGTTCTCTAAAAAATACGCATTTAATTTAGGGAAGATAACTTTTCTCAATTAGTCATCATGTTGAAATGTCAGATTAATGTTTTTGTGATTGTAAATATCACCCCCGAATTGACAGATGTATTATAAATGGTATCCCGTCATTTATAATTAAATCATCTTCAATTCTGGACTATCAATAAATTCATGGAGGAGGATATTTACAACACATCTGTTAATTCAAGAATAACACTTACAATCTCAAAAACACGGGACTAATTGATGGACCAAAAGTACGATTTTCACTTTAATTTAATACGGAGTACTTTTATACTCCCTCCCTCCCTGAAAGAACTTCCAACCTTGTCTTTTCATCCGTCCCAAAAAAAACTCACTTTTTTTATAAATAATTTATGGTTCTAAACATTTAATACACATTTCTCGCTCTTCTGCAATTTTTACCATATTATACTCACTTTCTTAATGTGTGAATCGAATGGAGTGTCACTTTTATTTAAACTTTAAAGTATAGTATGGAAAGCGCGCTAACGGTGAGACATCACCATTCACCTATATTTGTAGGGGTATTAAATTTTGTCTAAAGATTATTTATAATTATTTTTATCGACCGGATTTGACTTGATCTTGCACGTGGCGCGAACTGGAGATTATGGTCGAGTAGTTTTTTTACCGGGAGTGTTTAAGCTAAGTAAACACCTACTGGCAACTATTGACCATTTTGATCTATTCTTCAAACGCCGAATTATAGTACTCCGTATGTTTTTATGATATTGACCGTTGAGTCTCTAAAAGTACACACACCACTCATAGACCGTGATAATTAAGGTTTTTTCCTTTAATAGTACTACGTACCAAATTAAAGCCAATTTCTTAAAAAGTGACCATTTTTTTAAAAGGATAAAAATGTGATTAATAGATGTGACTGCCTAACGTTATGTCACTGCGATTTTATGTAACTATTTAATGTCACTGTCGGCTTTCAAGACACTTTCATATTTCAGTATCACCGTCAAACGTTTCACTGTGCCATTAATCATGTCACTAAGTCGTCGGGAATTTTTTGACGACTTTTCCGATGACTTTTTCTGGTGACTTTTTCCGCTCAGTGAAACCACCACCCGCCACCGCTATGAATGGGACACATACTGCCCTACCCCGACTCTCCCCCACCCCCACAACTACCCAACCCCCTCCCCAGCCACAACCTACCCCCGCCTGAGCGTCGCCCAGCGAAGCCACACCCTAGCCCCACCCAGCGAAGTCGCACCCCAACCCCACCCAGCGAAGCCACAGCCCAGACCATCCAGAAATGTCGCACCCAGCAAAGCCACACCCAAGCCCCTGCTCTATTAATTCCCAACCTTCATAGCACCTCTGTCCCACCTAGCTAAACCACCACACTAAAGCCCCTACCTCACCCAGCCCCCACCCACCAGTACACCCGCCCCTGCACCACCCCACCCACACCGCCCCCAGCTAAACCCTGGCCCGCCTAAGAGCTCCAACCCTATCTCAGGTCTGTCTACATCTCCTGTGCAACAGAGCTATGGCAACAACCTTGGGAGCCAGCAAAGGCCAGTGACCAGTCTTCTTGTTCGCCATCGGTCGTCATTGATCTCATTAGCCATAATTGCAGAGGTCTTGCACGTCTGAAATCGAAGCTCGAGCAACAGAGAGAAGAAAGTAGAAGGAGTTGCAGCCATATCTCTCTTCATCTTCGTGCAGAAGAACGATGTCGGTCGCCATCTTCTCGCAAGGACTCCATCTTCGTCGCAGGCTCGCAGCTCATTCTCGAAGGAGATGGTAGCGCAGAGGACAGTCCGCGTCGGGCGGAATAGGTTTTTTAATTTTAAACGGGATAGTTTTTTATCCATGTCTGAATTGGTCATATTTTTGTCTCGTCAAACTCTACAAGTCATATTTGTACCATTGTTTCGATAATTAATCCCGTCAAAATCTCTGAATTATGTGAGATTTTTGTGATAAATTCAGCAAAAAAATAATCATGTTGTTTTCAATTTTTAGTTATAAACTTATACTACATACGTAGTATATGATAAAAAATTTGCGACAAAATTTACACCTTTCGCTAAGGTTGGCATGTCTCTCTTTTTCAATCGGTTTCACTAAAATTGTCATATATTAAATTTGATAAAAAAAATTACGATTTTAAATTATTTTTACTTTATTAATTTAATTATCAATTACAGAAACTCAAAAAATAGCAGGTGGTGATATATAACTACAAAAAATGAAATATATATATATATATATATATATATATATATATATATTCTTTTCAAAAGATAACCTTTTTAATTAATCCTATCAAAAGAGTAAAAAGTTCTCTAAGTAAGATCAAAGAGCATATATAGGTTATATGTTTTGCTCGTAATTAAGGAATTCTTTTAGTAAATTTAGACTCCTTCATCTCTTTTAAGTTTGTCAAGATTGACCAGCACAAGGAATAATAAAGTGTAAATTGTGTGATTATAGTTTGCACAAAGAAAAAATAAACAATATGAATCATAAACTAACCAAAAAAAGAAATAAAACAATGTTAGGGATGGATTTAGTGGGGGGGGGGGGGGGGGGGGGGGGCGACCGCCGCCCTTGAACTTTCAAAAGTTTCTACTATGTAATATTTTCGTAAAGTTTTCATACTTTAACTAGATTCGCCCCCCTTTAACTTTTAGTTTTTAAAATTAATATATAGTCTTACATAATGTAATACTTAATTGAAGATTTAAAAGAAGGGACATCTAAAATAATTTGCATAGGTTAAATAAATAAACAATAGAATAACTCATTGTTTAAGATTTAGGATACTTATTAATAAAAATTATTAGTTTTATAATGTTCAATTATCTTTATTAGATAACTAGTAAAGGATTTTGTAAAATATATATCAAACGATATTAAATGCCAAACACACTAGTTACACAATTTTTAGATCATGTGAAGTGAATTCAACTTATAAATATTTATTGAAATTAAATCACACAATTCATTTTACTTCTTATGTTCTAAAAAAACTTTATTGTATAGATAATAAACTTTAGTTATTTTAGCATTAATACAAATATAATATGCACTATGTATATTACATTACATTATTATATATATATATATATATATATATATTTATATATATATATATAATTATATATATATATATATATATGAATTAGAAATATAATATAATTCTAAAAACAATAATCTCATACATACTATTGTAATATTAAGAAAACTTCTAGTGACTCATAAACATCCTCTTTCGTAGACAAAAATTGTAATTCAAAAACCAATTCTTTATTTCTCTAATATTCATGCAGTTAAACAATTTTAAAGTTATTTTAAAAGTATTGGTGAATGTGTACTTTATAAACTCTTTATCTTTAAATAAAATGTTATATATCCTTTGTTATTTTCAAATTAGTTTCCTTTGATTTGCCATTTCGTACCCTTTGATGTATCGATACTTTTTTCTAGAGCACTCCAATTATAAAATTAAAGTTATTTTGATATTGTCTAAACTTAGAATGTAATATATACTTTTAAATGTCATCGTCTATGTACTAATAATTAATAATATTTGTTTGAATAAAAATAGCCGCAAACGCTTACACTAGTGAAAAAATTTCGTCTTGCTACACTAGAGTAAAAAATAAAAATCACCTCGTACGCCAGTGAATATTTTTTACCTCCTAAACTAAAGAAAATTTTCGCCTTTTCATTCGAAATCCTGAATCTGTCCCTGGATGGAGGCAATACGTTTTTGGATCAATTGTTGTCTTGTTGATTTGCAGGGCCGTTTTTTAGGGGGTTGAATAGGTTATCCAGAACAAGGCCCCCGGATTTACGGGGCCTCAATTTTTTTAAAATTTATTAGTATTATATAGTAATATTATATATTAATACTAATCAATAAAATACATATAGTAAGAAAGAAAAATATAGATCCATCATTTTTTTCGTTGGTCCTTTCACTCTTTTGGTTCTCTTTTAACGTGTATTCAATTGATTTCAGTCTACGTATTTAGATTGAGATTTTTTTTAAGTTTTCATATTAACGTGGGCCTTGATTTGATATATACCAAGAATATTGCAGGTAGAACTGAAGCCGGCTTTGCATGATTTCACCTTCAACGTGATGTCAAGAATGATATTCGGGAAAAAGTACTATGGAGACAACGCGGGAAACTCCGAAGCGGGGAAGCTGTTCCAGGAAATATCCAAGAGTCAGATCAGCGTGATTCCCAAGGCTAACGTTTTGGACTTCTTGCCTTTCATGCGGTGGTTTGGATTGGGAGAAGTGGAAAAGGAACTTCTCAGCATTTTTGAGAAGAGGGATAAATTCATGCAGGCTGTAATCGATGAGCATCGAGGGACGACGACGATGGCAACCAACGGCTCTCATCACTCCTCTCCCACTCATCCGACGAATAAGACTGTTTTGGATGTTCTCTTGGAGCTCCAAAATTCTGAACCGGAACTATATACTGATCAGACCATCAGAAATCTTTTGCTGGTAAGATCCAACATTTTTAATTGACTTTAATCTAACACACGTATTAATTTTTAATTGAAGTTTTTCCTTAACCATGACTCCCTCCGTCCCATAAAATAAGTCACATTTTCCTTTTTGGGTCGTCCCAAAAAATTGTTCTCATTTCTCTTTTTGGAAAGTTTTGTGTGGCTAACATTCATTTACCTTTTTCTTACTCAACCACAATCATACATTTCCACTTTATTCCCACTTTCTTAAACTCCGATCCAAATTGAAATGGGACTTATTTTATGGGACGGAGAGAATATTTCTCAATAAAATTTATAGATGAAAGTATGATTCCAACTATAAAAAATCTGACTAGAACGACTAATATGATTATATAGTTGTACAATAGTCTCTATGTTTTTAATATACTTCTTCCGTTCCTTAAAACTTTGCCAAACTTGACCAGCACGAGGATTAATAAAGTAAAAATCATCATGTATATGGTTAAAGTATGTGCAGATGAGAGAGAATGAGCCGGAACCACAAATACTTTACTTAAAAAGGAAAGGGACATAGTTAGCGAGACATCCAAAACAGAAAGTTGATAAAGTTTTCAGAGACGGTGGGATCCAGTAAAACTCAACATAATATAATCATGATTACTAGAATGGTTGTCATGATTACTAGAATAGTACGGAGTACTTATTACTCCCTCTGTCTCATTCAAAGGTTCTCGTTCACTATTCACATGGTCAACTTAAATCATTTTTAATCTTTTGCTTTATATATCAATTTTTTATCAAATTTACATTTTTATCAGGCTTTGTAGCGGTTTTAATGTAGTTTCTGAATATGTAGATTTTATTTACTATAAATAATCAGAGTGTAAGCAGAGATTAGGTTGCTTTATCTTCACTCAAGCATCGTAAACCGTAATTGGAAAATGGGACGGATGGAGTAGTAAATTATAAAAGTCACTTTTTGGTCAACTATATCTATATAGGTCATATATTTGAATTTGTCATTACTATTATTAAATTACATCTACGCCTTCATAGTTCACACGGAGTATATATTTATTGGAGTGTAGGTTTTTGTCCATTTCATCTAAAATGTACATAGTAATACAGTAGTAGCAGAGAAAATTACCTTCAATATAACTAAAAGACGTACGTATGTTATTTTAATAACGAGTATGGATGTTTTTACTTGGACGGTAATTCGACCCAGACCAGATCAGATCAGATCAGACCAGATCAGACCAGACCAGTTCAGACCAGACCAGACTTGGATAGTTATAAAAATACAAAGAAATCAGACCAGACCAGACCAGACCAATTCAGACCAAACCAGACCAGACCAGCAAATTACAGTCCAAGTAAAAACATCCTATATGGACTATATACTCCGTATTTCTTTTTTTTAAATGATACTACCTCCGTCCCAAAATTAACTTCCCGTTCGGTTTACGATGCTTGACCGACGATAAAACAACTCGATCCCTGTTCAAACTCAGATTATTTTTACTAAATAAAATTTACATATTCAGGAACTACATTAAAACCGCTACAAAGTCTGATCAAGAAAATTTAAAATTTGATAAAAAATTGATATAAAAAATAAAAGATTAGGAGTGATTCAAGTTGACCAATGAATAGTGACTGTGAAGTTGTTTTTGGGACGGAGAGAGTACATGTTACCATCAATCTCCATGCATGAATTAATAATTTTTAAAATCTGATGCCACGACTTCATTAATATGTGCGCAGAACAGTGTTTGAGAGACAATACGAACAGACAAGTCCGCAATTTAGGAGTTAGAACGTACTTTTATTCGCCCGTTTTGTCGAAATTTTTGTGCCTATAAAAATATCATCACTTCATTTATATCAATGCAAAAGTAAGTGTAGTAACTGAAGTGCATTTAAAGACTTCAAAGAACATACCATATATTGGCATGGCCCATATAATCGAATGCGTATACCGTGCAACCGGTATACGGTGAGCACCGTATAACGGTACGGATTTTTTTTTTTCCTCTTGTTTTTAAAAAATGGTAATAACTTTTTTATTTTTGATCCGTTTTTTATAAAATTTATATCAACATTTTTTATTTTTCATGATCTTTCAAATGAGACCAATATTGCCTATGTAATTTTAACATATTACCATTTGCGTGTAAAATATGTAACTTTACGTGTTAAAATATGTAACTCACGTTCAGTCAGACCAAATGCAACTCATGTGTATAAATATGTATCTCTACGTGTAACAATATGTAACTTTACGTAAAAAAATATGTAACTCGCGTTCAGACAGGTCAAATGCAACTCGTGTGTATAAATATGTAACTCGCGTGTATAAATATGTAACTTTACGTGTAAAAATATGTAACTTTACGTGTAAATATATGTAAGTCGCGTTCAAGCATGTCAAATGCAACTCGTATTTATATATATGTAACTCGCTTTTAAAAAGATGTAACTTGGTTATAAAAAGATGTAACTTGCTTATAAAAAGATGTAACTTGCTTATAAAAAGATGTAACTCGCTCATAAAAAGATGTAACTCAATGTATTATCAAATGTAACTGAGGCCACTGATCCACTCCCAAACAGATTCGATCTTCTATTTCACAAACCTATCATCTCCCAAACAGATTCGATTTTCCTTATAATCCAATACTCATTAATATAATAGTTCGATAATTTATTAAAATTACATAAGCAATATTGGTCTCATTTGAAAGATCATGAAAAATAAAAAATGTTGATATAAATTTTAAAAAAATCGGATCAAAAATAAAAAAAATTATTATCATTTTTTAACAACAAAAGCAAAAAAAAAAAGTCAAACTGCGTCGTTTTGCAACCGGACGCACCATCCTCATGATGCGCCGGTTGCACCGTATAATCTGCGCATATAATCTACTGTGGCCGATTGACATTATTGACTAAGTGGCCGGATTATTCGTCTGCAAGTTGTAACACAAAAAGTATGTTAACAATCAATTAAGATTTTAAAAAATAAAAAACATCGGCTCAAATGAATAATATTATCATTCATTCTTTTTTAAGTTGTAACATGTTGAATTTTACATTATTTATCTACTCTACATTTTATTTATTAATTTATAAGAGCTATTTTTTAAATAAAATTGTTCAATTATTCTCATTACAAACTTTCAAAATCTGTTTTTTAAGTTTTTACTAATAGAGAATTGACGGTCAAAGATTTGCGTTGTCAAATGTACAAAGTTGATTGTTGCAACAAAAAAAGAACAGAAGAAGTATTCCGTAATACGAATTTGTCAATCAAAAATTTAAAATATGATACTAGTATATCGAATTTTCCAATTTCTTTAACTTTTTTTTTTTGAAATGTTACTGAAATGAAATTTATTTATAAAATGTGACTAAAAGCTATAATAATCTAGAATTTTAGTCACTTAAATGTAAAAATTAAATATAAATTAGTATGTAATTATTATTTTTACTTTTAGGCGGTTTTTATGAAAACTATCCTCATCAACAATATAATTTTCAGAAAATTAATTAATACTACGTATTAAAATCATAGGAATATAAAGAATTAAATTAAAGATTAAAATCACGACATATACAATACTAGATAGATATATAGGGCATGTTTGACATAACTAACTGAATGAAAAAACATTAAAAAGAAAAGATTAAATTAAAGATTAAAATCATGACATATACAATACTAGAAAGATTAAAATTCATACAATACTAACTTTTATAAATTTTTAATAACGGTTAGCTTTTAGTGACTGAAAAACATTTAAAAGAAAAGAGGTAGATGTTGTCAAAAAGCTGATTGTTTGATTTAGTTTTGTTTAGTATATAAGCAGTTGGACTAATTAATGTTAAAAATTATAAACTTTTTTGAGATGCTATTCTGTGTAGCATCTAAAAAATGTTTATATTTTTAGAAAATCTCTTAAAAAATTCCATGTCCAATATATACCTAGAAACTTTTAAAAACTTTTTAAATAATACAAAAACTTGCTTTCATTCAATCCAAACCTATCTTGACAATTTGACATATTCCATTAATCAATAATATAGAAATTCCATATCAGAAGGTCTATTTGTGAACTTCCCATAGAAAACTAAACACTTTAAAATATTTGAATTAAAAGTTGGATCTCATCCCCATCAAAGCGCACGGATCTTTGATCATGATATGGTATAAAAGTAGACCCATTACCGAGAAGCATTTTTGGAATATATATATAAATTAGGATTACAACAAAAACAATGCTTATTGTCTGAATGTGTGAATAAACACTTTAAATCTATCCATCCATTGTGATACAAAATGAATATATTTTAACAAAATGAATATATGTAGTTTGTTGAACTTTGTCAAATCAATTCAATATCAAATCAACGCCGCGTTAGCTTGATAAACATTCTGTAAATGTGAAAGATTGTAACGGTGTATTAATACTTTATATGTTCTTTTGTATTTCTATACACAACAAAGCTTAATAAATACAAACCAATTTTATTTGGCATTGAAATTAAGTAACACATTTGTCTAGTGCAACTTGAAGTTGATTTGGTGCAACATCCTCAAATGTTAGTGCAACATGAAATGAAATAGGTTTAGTGTAAAATTACAAATTTTAAATCCTACTATAAAATTAAACTATTGTTAGTTAGAGCAACGTTGTAAATCTAAGTATTGATATCCATTTTCATTTGTCACATTAGATGCATTTCTCACTTGAACCGAAACCTACAAAGATATTTGTATAGAATTATATATCTTCCCGTCAGGTATATATATTTGATCGGAGCGCCGTCCGGGCACCTCAGTTTGAGGTGCTTCCGAGTTGAATTTTTTATAAAGTATATATTATGTTTACAAAATTTCAGTTTAAAATTCAATCGGGAAGTCAATTAAATAAATCGTTGAAAAACACCGTGCCAAAATATATATATATATATATATATATATATATATATATATATATATATATATATATATATATATATATATGAAAAACACCGTTAATTTCAAAATTTTATTTAACTAACTAATTTTCGATTAATTTTTTCACTGAAATTTGGTAGACACAATCTAAACTTCATGGAAAACTTGTCTACAAACATTTATCAAAACATTCTTCCCGAAACCACCTCACAATGTGGTGGGCGTGTTGGCCAGACGACGATTCTATCATGTAATACGGGAATATTTGTGATATATATATATATATATATATATATATATATATATATATATATATATATATATATATATATATGTGTGTGTGTGTGTGTGTGTGTGTGTGTGTGTGTGTGTGTGGAAAGAACAAATTGTAAAGATCCTCCATAGGTCCATATTAGTGTATGAGAATGGACGTGCTTATGGAAAAGGGAGAGTAACCATATCCATCAGCCCATCACAATAGTAATTAATATACGCCCGACTTAATAAAAACAGTGCTAGGGATATTTGTACTCCTTCCGTCCCAATTTGTTTTTCAAAGTCAACATTTTTTGATCAATCAATAATAAAAGTCAACACTCTGTATGGATAATTAATTCAATTTTTAATAATTAAAATTTACATATTCATAAACTACATTAAAATATATTCAAAGTTGTAAACTCCAAATTAGAACATAATTAACGATTGACATCCAAATTAAGTGAACAAAACGAGACTGTTTGACTAAGAAAAGTCAAATTTGCATCTCTTTTTGGGACGGAGGTAGTATGTATAATATTTTTTTTTGTGAGGATTTATATATTAATTAATATAATATATGTGAATATGTGATAAAATAATAAATGATAGGGCAGACACAATGTTTTCAAATGATACTCGTATCCTATGACATAGTGTTCGGAATGCGATGGAGCTGATTAAGACGATGTAAAACTTGTGAACAAGCTTTCGGTGGGGGGATGAGTCACGAGTGGATGAGGCAACAATATACTAATTTAATTAATATTCATAGAAGGTGTAAGTGGATATTATTATTATTAAAATGATAAAGAATCAAAAAATAAAACGGTATGCTTTGACTATTGAACAAATTAAATGCCGAGTACAACAAATTCATAACTTCCGAGTTCCGATATTCCATTTATAATAATTTACGCTTTCAATCCCACATGCATGCCATAGATGAAGTCTCTTTCAAGTTTCATCTAACTTTTATAAACATTTAAAAGATTTGTAATCACACATAATATTTAAAATATGTAGTATAAATTGATTTACGAAATTAGTGAATAGTACTCTAGTAGCGGTAAGGATGTTTTTGGTCTGATCTTGTCTGATTTGGTCTGAGCTGGTCTGGATTGGTTTGAACTGATTTGGTCTGGTCTGATAAATATCTGGTCTAGATTTATTTTATAACTGTTCAAGTCTAGTTTGATCGGGTCTAGTCCGGGACTGAAAACGGTTTAAGTAAAAACATCCTAAAAGTATGACTAAAGTGTAAGAACTAAACATAAGTTACATTGACTAAATTGCTAATTCCTCCATTCTCTATAATTGTCTCATATTCCTTTTTGAGATGTTTTTATAACTTCTCCCTCTATCATTTTAGTAAGTTTTTTCTATCAAAATACTTTTATACCATCACTTTTATTACCCTTACATTTTTTGCGTACATCTTACAAACTATTTTTTCTTTCCTACTTTTTGCATTAACTCTACTGCCTCTATATTATCTCTATCATTTTTCTTCTTAAAAACCGTAAAAAAACTAAGATGATAGTTATTAGAGGATGGAGTGATGAGTAATACTACCTCCGTCACATAAAACTTGGTCAACTTTCCTTTTTGGACGTCCCAAAAAACTTTGTCATTTCCATTTAAAGTACTACCTGCGTTCCCATTTTAACTTCCAAATGGGTTTGGCACAAAATTTAAGATAGTGGATATTGTGTGGTGGAGAGTTGTGCAGAGGAGAGAGAAATGTGTAAGAAATGTTGTGAACCACAAATTCTTTACCAAAAAGGGAAAGTGGAAGTTTTAATTGGAACGGACGAAAAAAGAAAATTGGAAGTTTATTTAGGAACGGAGGGAGTAACAAATATGTGGCTAAAGTTATTTCTCTTTCCTCTGCACAAATATCAACCACACAGTTTTTACTTTATTAATCTACGTGCAACTCAACATTGGCCAAGTTTTATGGGATGGAGGGAGTATAATCATTATACTCAAGAAGTCATATTTGGTACTCCCTCCGTCCCGGTCATTTCTTCCTTAATTGACTTGGCTCGCACGCAAATTTAGATAGTGAGAATAAAGTGGAAATGTATGATTGTAGTTGTGTAAGAAAACGTGAATGAATGTGAACCACATATTTTTTTCAAAAGTGAAAGTTGGAAGAATTAATTGGACGGCTCAAAAAGGAGTGTTGGAAGAAATGACCGGGACGGAGGGAGTATATACTAAATATTTTAGTCATAAATTTGTAATTATTTCAAAATGATGAATTCAAATTAGGAAAACGGTATAAACAATGAGAGAATAGAAATTAGAATTGAGTACTTTAAGAATTGAACGAGTGTAATTTGGTAGATAGGTCGTTAGATAAGTACACTTGTACACACTTTTACACACGTTGGTGATGAACAAAACATGTTTTGTCTGTGACAGACAAAAAAATCTGATCGACATCTATAAAGTGTGTACAAGAAGAATTATCGATTAAATAATAAAGTAAATAAGAAAGATAGTGAGATCAATAAAGCATTATACATGTTGGGCCATGCTAATTACATGTTGTTGTTTACAATCAACCATTATCCCCCACAACTTAAATCAGTACATGTTACATCAAGTGACCATTGTGAAATAGTTTAGGATCCGATATCAAGATACACTAAATTAAACGTCTCCTTCAGTTTGCTTTTCTCATTTGCCTTCTTGATATCCTCCATTTAATTTATTTTCTCGAGTGAAAAACATGAATCAATATCTAATTTAGAATGTCAGTTTCCCTCTTTAAGCCAACAATCCAGTCCTCCCTCCTCATACATGATATGCACACACAATTTCTCTGTCATTCTATATACGAGTATATATATATATATTAAGCACTTGACGTACGTCAATTGTGTGTTTTCAATTAGCAATATTCATCAAAATACATTACAAGTGTAGAAATTGCTCCACTTATAATTTGTTTCTCAAGAAATCATTCTAAATTGGACTGAAACATACTTGTAGATAAAATGCATAAATCAGAACATAGAACTGAGTTCTACTCTTTAGAAAAAACAAGGGGAAATTCCCGAAACAGGAGTAAAAAGGTTTGAAAATTTCAAAATATAACTGTCATGTTTGGAAAATAATGTCATGTTTAAAGTCTGGTACTACCAAAACATGGCAGTAATTAGTTCTATTTTGGGAATAAAAACATGATAGTTCTATTTTGGAATATACAAACATTTTTAGTCCTATTTAGACTAATTTCTCAAAAAACAATTGTGATTTTATTTGTACACTTTATCTGTATTTTAATACGAATTTGGATCCATTCCAGTTCCATTTGGAGAGATATAGAGAGGAGAAAATTAAGGGTGGAGTAGGTTGGTGAGTAGGATAGATGTAGAGATAGATAGAAAGTAAAAAAGAAATGAAGAAGAAATGGAGAGAAAGAAATGGAGAGAAGCTGGACTCTTTTAATAATACTTTATACTACGTATTTAAGAAAGGTTCCACACCTCATCCCTCATTGGCTCCATTCCAAAAATATATTATTATATTCTTCACACCCATAATATCATGGGTCTTTTTACGGTGCACTAACTAATTTCGTATGTTTTTGTACATTGCATTTGTTGTCCAAATATTTGTGGTATCAACATTAAACCTAATTGGGTACCAGTGTATAGTAATTTAATCAAAGCACCGTAGAATTTCTCTAATATCGTTGTGGTAATAATATTATTTGGTGAAGGATAGGTATTACTCCAAGCAGGATCTGATACTACAACGGTAACCTTAGAATGGGCATTCTCTTATCTCCTAGACAATCCCCACGTGGTGAACAAGGCAAAGTCCGACATCATCCAAAACATCGGAAACAACCGCATCGTCGAAGAATCTGACCTGGACAGCATCCCCTACATCCGCTGCATCGTTAACGAGACATTACGGATGCACCCGGCGGCGCCGCTACTTCTGCCGCACTTCTCGTCGGAGGACAGCACAGTGGCCGGGTTTCACGTGCCGCGAGAAACCATTTTGGTGGTCAACGCTTGGGGCATACACCGTGATGCATTGGTTTGGGAGGAGCCCGAAGTTTTCAACCCGGAGAGGTTTATGGGCGGTGGTTGGAAAAACGGGTGCAAGTTCATCCCGTTCGGCTCCGGGAGACGGCGGTGTCCCGGCGAGAACTTGGCTCTCCGCGTTTTGGATTTGGCCGTCGCGTCTTTGCTGCAGTGTTTTGAGTGGGAAAAGGTTGACTTCTTGAAGACGGCGGAAAGTGAAGGCAACGGCGGATTCACCGTTTCAGCAATGACTCATCCTTTACGTGTTAAATGTTTCCCTCTTCCGGTAGTCACAAATCTTTTTTCATAGTTACATGAATAAATGTTGTATGTTTTCGTGTATGTATATTTATTTAGATTTACTAAGGGTTTCTTTTCCAAGGATTTTAGTTTCGATATTTGGGTTATTCATATACACTTATATATGTTGAATTGCTCCATTCAACTTTATAGTAGGGTATAGCTAAAAGAATCGTGAAGGTGAGACTATTTTCTCTCTCTAGGGTTACCTGGTAACGCCTAGGTTTCGTCCGCTGCCGGCTTCTGCCATGGTAGCTTCGGCCGCCTCTGGTCAGCCGGGCCATGGAGAAGAGCGGTTTTATTCGAGTTCCCTGGAGCTTCGTTTTGTGAGTTGTGGTTCCTGTTTTTGTGGAGGTCTCGGTGGAATAAGGGATTTTTATTTTTCTAGGGTTGCCGCAAGGCATACCGCTAGTTACGAACGTCCGCTATCGACCTAGGCTGAGGAGCGGGTCTGGCTTTCCGGCCATATGGTTATTTTTTTGTGTAAGAGGAATCGAAAGAAGGGGCGACGAAAGAGGCTAGTGAAGGTCTTTTGGTTCGGACCGGCAGTTCGTGGTGTCTTTGATGGACGAATCGAGGAGACATAGTAGCGAGCGGAGGAGAGATTTCCAGCAGAAACACTACAAAAAAAATCGCTTGTAGTCACGGACCGTAGTCACGGATTTGGTCCGTGACTAGTTAGTCACGGTTCTAATCACGGTTTAGTCACGGAACGTTTAAAAAAAATATAGTCACGACAAAAAAAACTGTATAAAAAACTGTTTATAAAAAACTGTTTACAAAAAACTGTTTATAAAAAACTGTTTATAAAAATCTGCTTTTATATAAAATGTTTTTTATAAATTTAAATACGAAAACCTATTTAAGATTTCAACCAAAATTTGATCTTCTATTATATTTACACTATTATTTGAAAATGTAAATTAATACTCCTCATTAATCAATTATTTAGATGAGCAATGAACAATCAACCTCCCGTGCTCGCCCGAACTATGCGCCCTTAACCCAAGCCGAGCGCAACAATGAAGATTCGGAATGAGTGACACCTCACATGGTTGCTAAGTAAGTAACTATGAACTTTATCTAATGTCAAATAATTTTATCTAATGTCAAACAATCTAACCAAGTGGATATAAAAAAATATCATTAATTTTTTGAAGCGATCAAGATGTGCTCAACCAAATCAAAATCATAATTGGTGGACATTTTCTTGGCAACTGGGCTACGTACACGGATGTTGACCCCAAGGTCCGTGAACTTTGGTGGAACTTGTTCAAGGTAAAAAAATGAATTTTTCGTTATTGATGTAACCTAAAATTTGACAAATGATAAGTTAATTTATTTTTTTAATAAAGGCCCGGTTTCGCTGGACTGAAGAACAAGGCCCGCTATTCTAAGGGCGTACAATGCCAGAGTTTCAAACTGGCTTCGTCCCACTTTTAAGCGTGTCCGAGCCAGTGGGGTAAGGCCTCAATGGTGTTCGGATGAGGTATGGGAAAACCTCGTCCCCCACTGGTCTTCGGATCCAACTTTCTTGGCTAGAAGCGAAGCCGGGAAGAAAAATCGGATGTCCGAGAAGGCATTGACGACACAATGGCACGGAGGCCGCAAACCTCAGAGTAAACATAAAGAAGCACTTGTAAGTCTTATTCAAATAAACCTTACACCATTTTAACCCTTTATTTTTTTACATTTATTTAAACCTTTTTCGAACCTTGTAGGCGGGGCCTCAAAAGAAGAGGGTCTCTATCCTTAAGGTCATCAAACATTGTTGGACGAAGAACGGTGATGAGTCGGAAGCCAATCTACCACCCCGCTTTGCTGAAATCGAAGTATGTAACATCAATATTATTATTTCAAATCGAAGTAAATATCATTTAAATAATTTTTGTAAATGTTTGTAGACAAAGTATAACGCAAATGTTGAAAAGAAGCGGGCGGAACTAGGCTTGACTCAAGAAGATGGCATCGATTCTGATGTGGAAGATGATGCGATCCTTGAGGCAGATGGGGTGTACAAGGGTCGGTTTCCGTGCCTCGGGGCCTCGGGGCAACGTATTTTGTACGATCGCAGTGGCATCGGAGCTTCATCATCTTCTCGATCTACGCGAGGAGAGGATCCACGCATTGCCCAATTGCAGCGAGAATTGGAGGAGCAGCAGCGGGCATTTGAACAGCAACGGAAGAATGATGAAGAAACAAGGGCCCGGCTGGAAGCAATGGAACGGATCCTTGCCGGATATCAGCCTCCACCTCAGCCTCTTCCTCGGCCGTACATGTTGCACGTTGAGCAGACTCCTCAGGTTCCGCACATGGGTAATATGGGTTATCACTCTAACTTCGGTTATGGTGCCATGCCTGCAATAGGGTCGACATTCGGATCTCTGTCGTCTGATATGCTCAATCAGTTTCAGTCATCCGGTGGAGGCAACCGAGGAGGCAGCCGAGGAAGCAACTGAGGAAGCAACCGAGGAAGCAACCGAGGAGGCAATCGAGGAGGCAACCGAGGCAGCCGAGGAGGTACCCGATCCTTGGACACCGTGGATGCAGAAGATGATCATCATCGTGACTATGATGATAATGATGACGCATATGATTATGATGATTCTAATTTTTATCATAATGGAGTCCGACGTACGGGCATGTAATTACATAATATTGTTTAACATTGTATGAATTTTGTTTTTATAATTCAGTCTGTAATAACATTTTTTATGTTTAAGATTGTATGGAATTTGTTTTTATTCTAATTGCTTTAAAGTAAAATTAAAATATTTTTTTATTTTTTATTTAAAATCGATTTTTTTTTAAATCAAAAACATTAGTCACGGACTAAATCTGTGACTACGTTCTAATCCGGAATAAATTCAATTTTCATATTTTTATTTTTTTATTTAAAATCGATTTTTTTAAAAAAACAAAAAACATTAGTCACGGACCAGATCTGTGACTACGTTTTAATCCGGAATAAATTCAATTTTTTAAAATTAAACATAGTCACGGATACATGTTCATGACTAATTGCGGGCTTTTTAAAAAACGTTAGTCACGGACACGTCTGTGACTACCACAAAAATAAAAAAATTTAAATTAAACTTAGTCACGGCTCTTGTCTGTGACTAACATAAAAAAAAATTAAATTAAAAGTAGTCACGGATCTGGTCCGTGACTAACGCGTCGGAGGGCTAATTCCGGTCAAGATGTAGTCACGGATCAAGTTCCGTGACTAATCTGTGACTACACTTAGTCACGGCCAATGTTCCGTGACTACGTTCTAGTCACGCGGAATTAGTCACGGCACTAGTCACGGACAAAATCTGTGACTAAATGTGTTAGTCACGGATTTTTTACACTACGGTCCGTGACTAAGTCCGTGAGTACAGGTGATTTTTTTTGTAGTGAAAGGGGAATGGCATGGACCAGGACAAACTCTTCAGAGAAGATTGAAGCTAAGGTCCGTGTTTCCCCTAAACTGCCGCCACGATTGTGGGAGTCGCGAGGGCAGTTTGAAGGTGAGGAAGAGATAACGTATTTTGACCAAGAGATGGAGGCGACTCAAGGGCAGATTAAGGCGATGGAAGAAGAAGATGAAGTGATAGTGATCCGACCCCCTCCTGAACCGCCGCCGGTGGTTCTCGAAAGGCTGAGTGAAGAAATTTAGTTTTTTTCTTTTATTTATTTTAATGGTCTGATTTTATATGTGTTTGTTTGTTGTTTCATCTCTTTCGATTGTAAGACTGTGGTTTTGGATTTGGATAGGGGTGATGAGAGGGTTTCGGTAACCGTCTTTGGCTCATTTGTGCCTATTAATGGATCAACGAATTATATTGCTTCTTTGGAGGTGATAATTCTAAGTCTGGTTCGCGGGACGACGATTGTCGGGAATCTTTTTATCGGATGACCTACTACCTGAATGATGTGTTATCAATTTAAGCTCATTTCTTCCAATAAAAAACTTTATAGTAGGGTATAGAATGTTCTAAAATGCATAAGGTGAGTTTAAGCGCATTATAAGTGTGAAAACGCACTTTACATTATTTATAAAACTATGGCAAAAATAAAAAACATGACTTGTTATGTTTTTATTACAAAATAGGACCATATTACTCCTATGGGAAACATATCTATTTTTTCATTTCATTCCTACCCCTTCTTTAAATATGAATAAAAGATAGTCAAAAGTCATAATTAAATGTTTAATTCATAATAAATTCGAAAAAATTTAAAAAACCCCTAGAAAAATAAAATAAAAAAATTACTAAAATATTTATAAAATAAAAAATTTAATTTTCTTTTTTAAAAAAAAACATTTTTTTAAAAAAATTATAAAAAATAGTAAACTCCATAAAAAAATTAAGAAAAAAAATATGGATGCCTTTCCCACCAGGGGAGGATTGGTCTCAAGGCCAGGGAGGGCCTAGGCCCACCCTCGGTTTTTTATTTTTAACTAGTAGTGTATATATTATACCAACAATTTTTTATGTACACCTTCTTATACACATCAATACACCCCCGTGTCTGTGAGAGTTCACAGACAAAAGCTGGCTTGTTTTGTCTGTGAAAAATTCTACAGACAAAACAAGTCAGTTTTTTTCTGTGGACTGGGATTCACAGACAAAAAAACTCTCACAGACACGGGGTGTACTGATGTGTAAAGGAAGGTGTACAAAAGGAATTTTTGATATTTTACAAGCCCGCCCTAAATAAAACCTTAATAAAACGAAAAAATTCGCACTAATAATCCAACCTATTGACGATCTTCTATTATTAATCCCTTCTACCGGTTATTCTAAATTAATACCAATTAAGGGGTAAACCTTCCCCAAACAGTCTGTTAACCTGCAGCCCATGTATCAGCCGGTAATTAAAAATCACGTGATTGCACGTGATGAATCTTTTATGTTAGCAAAGGCCACAGACGATGGAGAAAGCTGAAGGAGAATAAGGACGAAGGAGAACAACCAAAGCAGCAACCCTCGCGACCTCGCGTGGAAGAATCTGAGTAAGGAGCGAAGAACACAAACGAAAACAATCCTCATGAAGTCCGTCAGTGGGTCATCTTCTTGGACCTGTAACTCGATTACGCGTAATTGCCATCACAACATACAAGCGAACTTAAGAACGGTGAAGAAAGGGCGAAATTTGGGGAGAAAATTCTTTGGATGCTCACTTTGGCCTGTAAGTATCTTGTATTTAAATTTTCACAGTATTAATTAAGGTTGAATTGAAGTTACCAACAATAATTTGGTTTAGTATAATTTAGGGTTTGTTAGAAGTAATGTTTATTGCCTGGAGATTGTACGAATTAGGAAAAATTTGTAATGGTTTTGTTAGAATCTGGTTTTGACCTTAATTTTTCCTACAGACTTCACTTTTTCCTGTAATTGTTTTGTTAGAATCTGGTTTTGACCTTAATTTTTCCATATTAAGGTTGTGACTGAAGACTTCACTTTTCCCAGTAATGGCTTTGTTAGAATCTGGTTTTGACCTTAAATTTTCCATTAAGGTTGTGATTGAAGTATGTCCTACTTAAATTTTCCATTGAGGTGGAGTAGTTGACATGTAATTGTGGTGTTGTGAGTTTAGAATGCAGATTGTAGGTACTTTGAATGGTACAATGACAATGAGGTGGAGTGTCATGATGAATACAAACTGATGGACAAAGACATAGCCATTGAAAGGTTGTTGGCAGAGAAGAAGTTCTTGGAAGAAAAACTGCAAAAGATAAAGAACAAGAAAAAGAAGATGTGTGTTCTGATAACTGAAATGCAGATGAAGGCTTCCAAAAGTGCTAAAGGAGAAAGAGCTGCTATTATGATTGTACTTGTATTTTGGATAGTGTTTGCTATTCTAAGTTATTTGAAGTGAAATGTATTTGAGTAAACTTTGTAGTCATGTACTTTTTGAGGTTGTATCTTAGGTCTTGTAAGTTATCTTGTATGTTTGGAAGTTGGAATGTAACAGTCAAGAAGTTTACAAGTTGAAATGTAACAGTCATTATATCTTTGCACTACTTTTGAAGAAGTGTAAGTTGTATGCTACTATTATGATGTGATATATTAACAGCTTGACACAACATTAAAAGCCAGTAAATTCCCATACACTGGTAAAAAAGCATCTTTATGCTTGCCTAATCCACCAATCCAATCAACACCACTGTGAATACCATTGTAATCATTATAGAATCCAACTATAATCTAAATCTAAGTGGAATATAGAATCCAACTGAAGCATAGTACATCAAACATCATCCTACTGAAGCATAGTACATCAAACATCATCCTTCTGAAGCATAGTACATCAAACATCATCCTACTGGAGCATAGTACATCAAACACCATCCTGAACAACAAATTGGCTACTCATGCAGTGGCATTGCTTGAAGGAGGATATGTTGCCCCTGAAATGATTGTGGACCTCCAACTTGACCAGGTGGCTTCAAAACAAAACAAAGAATTTCATAAAATTCAATTCCATTATAAATTGTTAGAAATGTAGAATAGAAAGAAATCATTCTCACATTAACAAATGAGTTGCCTTGATCATCAATGAACACACCAAATCCCTTAGGTACCTGCATTTCATCATACAAACACATGAAATAGCAACAATAATCACTTTTGTGGACACAATTGGATTAAATTTAATGGTCATTCATACTTGTCTTCCTCTCCCTCTTCCTTTTCCTCTCCCTCTGCCTCTCATCATGATTCTTCCACCTCGTCCAGTTTGAGTTGGCTGTGCAGTGACATTCCTAATTTCAGCTCCTCTTACAGGTTGACTAGTATGGAGAACAGCCTTCCTAAGTCTCCCCCTTGATTTCTTAGGCAGATTTTCAACATTTGAAGGTGTGGCTTTGTCTTTATCAGTATACTTTCTTTTGTTGTGTTGTTTAGACTTACAAATACTACAAGTCATTTCCATACCGTGCTTGCTTAACTTTCCAGGTCTTTTTGGGTCTTCGGGGGATCTTTAATCCTATTCTTTTTGGGTCTTCCCGGTCCTATTTTTATTAGAGGAGGGTCCAAAGGAGCTTCTATTCTAGGCCAATGCCTTTCACCACGGCATGGGGGATACAACCACTATAGATTTTCATGTACGTGTCCTTCTCGTAACACTCATGCACATAATCTTCAGGGGCCTGGTGCAGAAAGAAGATACAGGACACAACATGGCAGCATGGGACTCCGGTCAAGTCCCATTTTCTACAAGTGCATGTGTGTGAGACCAGATCAACCATCACACTGTCCATTCTATGACTCACTTGGAAAACCATTATACTAGAAGGCATTGCTGCACAGTTGGCTGCTTCATCCTTCTCTTTTCTAACTTGGCCTGGATCCTAGGACACATACTTTGATGGCTCAGTTGCATTTGTTGCCTTTTCAAGACTATCCTTTGCATTAGGGCACTCCTAATATCTTCCATCATGAAAATCAGATGCTTTGTTCTAGCATTGATTATGTATCCATTAAAGGTCCCTGCCATGTTGTTTACAATGACCTCACACTTTGTCTTGGTTTGAATAAAAGCTCTACAGAACTTGGTTTTGTCATATGCTTTCAAAGCTGCAGTGGCAGTAGGGCTTAGGCTCTCCATCTCACCAATTGCATCTTCATAATTTGCCTGGTTGTATGCCCTGACCACCTTCCAAAAAGCCATCTTCAATTCATCCCCTTCAACCCAACCTTGTTTAACTCCATCAAAGCACACAAATAACCTCTGAAATACAGGTGGGAAAACCCTAACATCAGGAAGAACTTCAAGCTTGAATGTACTATTGGTACTTGCACCTGTCAAAGCCTGTAGATACCTCCCCACTTTGTTATAATGATCCTTCATACTACCATGCAATTTCCTATGAGCAATGTACTTCACCTTATACACAAAGCTCTTCTTAACAACAACCTTGTAAGCCCTTTTGACAGTTTCTATTATTTCCTTAGCTGGCCAGTGTGGTCTGGATTTAAAAACCTCAAGCAATTGTGTAGCAACCCACGATGTGTTAAGTTGTTTATTACTTTCCATGTTTCTGTGACATCTGTTCTCTCCCACTACAGATTTAACCACAAAAGTACCTCTTCTACTGTCCCAGCTAGCATAAATTTTGAAAGGACACCCGGGTACACATTTAGCACCTAATCTTTGCTGCCTTTTCTTATCACTTACACTAAACATGAGGTTCCTTCCTTAGACAACTGCAAACCTCACAACTGCATCTCTGAATTTTTCTCTACTTTCAAACCTAGTTCCTACTTTCCACTCAAGGATCTTATAGTCTGTGTTTTCATCCACAACAGGTATCCTTTCTTTTCTCCTTTTCTTCAATGTATTTTGTTCTTCATCTTCCTCAGGTGTTAATATCTCCTCCTCTGTGTCTTCATGCTCATTGATTATTTCAGAATCTGCCTCTACCTCTTCTTGGATCTGACTCTTTCCTTTTCTCTTACTTTGTCCAGGAAGCTTACCTTCAGCAGCTTCCTTTTGTAGTCGGGTAGCAATCTCAATTATCTTAACATTCCAGCCCTTCACTTGTTCCCTAACCCTTTGATACTCTTCATCACTAGTTTCTTGATCTGAACCAACCATTCCATCTACCATATTCTCCCTATCTTCACCTTCTGAAATATCAGCTTATAGGTCACCAAGTTCAGCATTTATTATGTCCTCTTCAGATGGTGGAGTGTATTCTGGGTCAGAGGAATCATCTTCTTCATCCCATGTGAAAGGACTATGGGGTCTATCACTTTCAAATGGAGCTGAATCATCTGTGAAGGGTTGTGAAGTACCTACACATTCTCCAATTTGAACACACACCTTTGCAGAAGCCTGACCTTGAAAAGTGGAAGAAATTGCATCTGTCACTCTCTTCACTTTAGCTCCTCCCCTTGGACTAAGCTTTTTCTTGCTCTTGGATGATTTCATCTCTGGAAATTCAGTTTGTCCCCCATATTCAATGGCTTCAATTAAATCTGGAATATCAATGCCATGAATGACATAACAGTCTACGCACTTGTTCTTTAGCACCAGACTTATCAAATCCCTCACTTGATCATCATGATATGCCCTTTTTAAGCCCTCTTCATAGCTAAGATTTGGAATCATGTAGTAAATGGCATCTATTGTGGAGTAATCCCCACATTTTTTAGCCAACTCTTCTAACCAAAAACTAGCACAGTTCATCTGCATCTATATCAAAGGTCCTAGATTCACCTCCCACGTATTCTAGTCACTAGTGCAAAATATACATTCTATAACTAGCCTTTAATATGGATTAAAACTTAATTGTTATGGTATGCTGAAACGGGGTCATATTCATAATTAATTAAAGTTTCATGTTGCTGGGTGAGTACAATTTGTAAAATGTAAACTTAATCCATAACGGTTCATCACGTCACCCGTTATAGAAAGTAAAAACGGGGCCATTTTTATAATTCTTATTAAATTAGATCTAGTTCAGGGCATGTTTTTAAATTAAATGAAAATAGTTTCGATGTCCCTTTAAGTTAAAACCCTTATTGAATGTTTTGATAACTTTTAAATGTGAAGTCTCATTATCCAAAACCTAGGGCAGACAATGGACTTCCGATTAGAAGGTACAATACATTACACGCAGCTCCTCTTCCGTTTCCTAAAGTTTCTCCGACAATCCTCACTGTCGGTGTTCTTCGCTGCTAGTGTCCCTTGTTGCCGCTTCCTTGATGCCTGTGTTCCTCGTTGTCGGTGTTCGTCGCTGCCAGTGCCCCTCGCTGCCACTTCCTCGATGTCGGTGTTCCTCGCTACATGTATTCTTCGTTGCCGGTTCCTTGATGTCACTGTTCGTCGCTATCGACCTTCCTCGGTGTGCAGGTATTCTTGGATGCCGATGTCCCTCTCTGCCGATATTCCCGAACATAGCAGTTGCTTGATCTCCATCATCTAAGACCTATGTTCTAAACAATCTAGGCAAAAAGACTTGTGTATAGTTTTCTCTTAGATTTGTGTAATTGCATTTAATTTGTGATAAACATGAAGAACTTCATTCCTAAGTTTCTATTTTATTATGTATATAAAATGTTTGTAAAAATGTTGTAATCAAAATTTTAAACGACTTTATTTACGTAAGAGTGATTATGTGTTGAAACTTGTTTATGTTCAACTTGTGTGTAATATTATCTGGGGATCGTCTGCATTACAATGGGTGGTGTTTCTCTTTATAGACAGCTTTTAGGAAGCCTCTCCAGGGGTATATACCTTATAGGGTGAATAGGCATAAGAGTATTTGAGCTGCAAAACAGTGTGTAAACGTTAAGAACTTTCATTCCTATGTTTTTAGTCTTCTTATGTCTATTAACTGTTTGTAAAAATGTTTCAATGGAATTTTCACACGAATTTGTGTAATGATGTTTTGAAACTTGTTGCTTTTTCTTTTTATTTGGTTTGATGTTGGTGAAGCTTATTTGAGTATGTTTCCTACAAGATTGGTGATGCATGTTGAAGTTTATAATATAAGATTGAATTGTTGAATTAGATTTTAGTAAATAAAATGGTTTTCTTATTTGGAGAATTGTTAGCTATGTTTGGTTGAAATAGACTTCATGGAATGCTTTTCCTTCCTTCATTCCATTTTTAGCCAAATAATTCTTATTGATTGGACTCTAAATCTTCCTCTCTGGTTGACATTCCTATTAAAAAGCCTTCTCATGATAATAAGACTAGTCACCATTGTGGATTTTTAATTCTTCGTCGAGCTTTGACATGAATATGATAGCTTTGTTAAAATTCCCCAATGAAATTTCAAATGAATGTTTATTCACAATATGACTTGTAATTTCTTTAGTTAATTCTTTTTTTTTTGCCTAATTAACTTATTATTTAGGACTAGGCAGTCCTCTTTCAAATAGCCTACCACTAAAACTATTATCTAAAACATATGATTATTTTATACCCCGAGTTTGTTTTGTGTATATATAGTTTTCTAGTGAATATTTTTTACTAGGAATTTGTTTTGTCTATATTTGACCAAACAGTCATGTTTTTAATAGATTGGGTTGAGTAAGTTATTCTTAATTGTGTTACTTTCTATCTAAAATTTATAGCAAATATGGAGTAAACATTTGTATGGCTTAACTAACAAGTCTTAATTTCAATACACCCTTTTTTACTTCTTTTCTAAACATGGTCATATTTTTTGTGCATAAATCTAAAACATCCTGGTCCATTGGAGGATTCATCAAACAGATCGAAATGAAGCAACTAAATTAATCAATGTTTTAATCAGGACATCATGATTAACATGAAGCTTTATTTTCAAGTGGTGCAACTTTTTTCCTTTACTGTTGTTTGTCTAAGTTAAAAATCAAAAGTAGTACTTGCATAATCAATGGCAAAACTTCCTCCTAAAATGATTCCCTGAGATCTAACACTGAGAAGTTCTTGTTCTAGCTGAGTGAGCCTCATCCTGTTAGTTATAGTTGATGTACATAAGACTTTTTCCTTAATCTGCTCTTTCTTGTTGCTTCTCTATTCTTGTGCATATTTCCTTTGACGTAACTAGCTAAAGCATCATGACATCCATAGCTGAAAATTGTGTACACCCCATTCAATAACATCCTTTATAGCAGCCTTAGTTTCTGCATCATGGCCATCATTATATTGTTCTAACATCATATTTGAAGGGCCCTCCCTTCAGAGATTTGCTGAGAAATAAATAATATGGGATTTGATCATCCAATCAGCCCTAGTTTTTGCATTTAAGTTGTATTTAGATCTCCATTAGCAATTAGCTAATTGCTCAATTGGGAATTTCTAAATTACTCAATCTGGATTTTCTCCATCAGCAATTACAGTTACAATGAAGCCCTCACTAATACAAAATATGCACATATGTGGCACATATGTGGCAATTATGTGGCACATACCCTTTAAAAATACCAATTGATTATTTTGTATGAATATGTGTCTTTGATTGAATGTTTATTTTGTGCATGAGCACTTCAAATTTAAATATAGTATAGAGATTTATTTGATAACTTTTTATATTTTATTTATGTTATCTAATGCTACTGGGTTCGGAGAGTGGACTGCCCGATTATCTGCTCTTTGTGTTCGCAGGAGGAAAGTGAGCTACACACTTTTTGTTTGTCATTTTGCAGGACACGTTTGGAAGGGGCTGCATTGGAGTATTCCTGCTGCAGAAGGAGACACTTTTCTGCATTGAGTGGACATGTTTTTTAGCTCAAGGAAGGAGGAAAGCTGCTGCATTTTCCTGATTGCTCTTTGGGGATTTGGCATGCTAGAAACGAGAAAGATTGGCAACAATTCAAAGAAAAAGTTGTTTCCGTATATAGATTTTGATGTTGTTTTTTGAACTTTTGTAAACAATGCATTATGTAAATTCACAAGCTTAACAACAAGATTGTAAGTTGGGTTCGAGAATTTCACTTGTACTTTGGTGTAATATATATTATTGTATATATAAAGCTAAAATGAAAAGTTTTTTTAATAAAAACATTACATTTTAAAATATAAAATCACTTATATAAAAAAAATTGCATTTACTGTCATATATATATATATATATATATATATGTATGTATGACAGTAAATGCAATTTTTTTTTAAATTGACTTTTTATAACGGTTGGTGATTTAACCCATATAAAATCCTTTTTATATGGGGTATTACTGGACTGACACGGAAAACATTCTATAACGGTTAAATTCCTAACCGTTATAAAAAACATTCTATAAGGGGTACGACTACCCGACACGAAAAGTGCCCGACTTTCTATATCGCTGGCTACTAAGTCGTTACGGGAACCGACATAAAAAGTGTTTTTTAACCCATATAGAAAGTGTTTTCTACACTAGTGAGTGTTCCCATGTTCTTCTTCTTAAAAATACCCCCATGCCATATGCGCAATCTGACATGAGTGTCATGTATTACCTAATATGTTAACAAACAAAAAGATATGAGGCACAAATCAAAGGAGTGAAAAGTTTGAGGAATCACATTTTTGAAAGCTATCAGTAGCTCTGCTAGAGGCTATTAGTGGATTATAGTTGTATTACATTCCATTTTTAGTTTGGATTTATCCACTCCATTTTAGGTTCTTTATATTTATAGATACAATTGTTACATACATAAAATTTGTGTATAACTACTACCGGTTTCACCATTGAGGGATAGAAGAAACCTTAAACTGTACTAAATGGTAGAATCAATAAGTGAAACTATATAATTAGTATCATACAATATAAATCTTAACAAAGGAACATAATTAACACCACAAAACAAAATGAAATGAACTAAACCATATGAACCCTAAATCCCCCTTCCCCCAATAATGTTATACACAAACAATAACCCCAACTATACACGAACAGTAACCACAACGAAGAAGCTTACCATTTTCTTGCAATTGGAGCAGCAATATATAAGACCGGGTACCAAAGCTTTTAATCCTTTGACGGCTGGATATGGCGGTCAGACCTTCCTCTAGCGAGAGAAGTTTATGGGGTGGAGAATGCGTTCAGGAAGATCAGGTTTGAGAGCTATGACCTTTTGTTAGTTACAGATTTTTAAAATTAACCGGGTCAGCCGGTTGCTTATGCATGAGAGTGTTTGGGGAAGGTTTACACCTTAATTGGTATTAATTTAGAATAACCGGTAGAAGGGATTAATAATAGAAGAGTGTCAATATGTTGGATTATTAGTGTGAATTTTTCCTAATAAAAAATGTAACCCGCCCTAGAAATCCCGTTCTTCCGGAATCATCTCTCAAGCGGCCAGCCGTCCAACTGTCCAAGTCCAAAAATGCAGCCCAAAAATCGAAATCCCAAATACATCTCCACGACTCCACAGACCATGAGACCACGGTCCACAGCGGCACAGAAAGGACGCACACCCAGGGCGCTGATCGGCAGTCGATTCGGCCGCCCCATCAGTTCGTAACTTCCAGGTTTCTACCTTTACCCTTCGTTTCTGTAATTTCAATTCCATTTTAGGCTTTGGCTTTTGTATATTTAGTTGGGGGCTTTGGTTTTCTTGAAGTACCGAACAAGCTAAGCTCCCCCCCCCCCCCCCCCCCCCCCTGAAGTTGTTTGTAACTGCCTGTTTGGCATGAATGAATCAATGAATTATTCAATACCTATTTCGAATTCCAGCATTCCAATTTCATGAAAGTAGATAGAGTTAATGCGTAATACCCATTTGATCCTAAAATTATAAAGTACGGAGTATTTCTCAATTTTTCTAGACCCAATTTGGTTCTTGACTTGAGTTATCACTCTCGTCTCTCGTCTCAGGCCATTATGGTCTTCGCCCAATCACCTATAAGTTTGTTAATTGTTTAGTGTTATTGTATTTTTTATATTCAATTTAGGTGTGCAAGGGGTAGTTTACCTTTTTTACATAAGTCCTGAATGTATTAAGACATCTGTCTGGATTTAGTGACATTGAGATAATAAGTTGTTTACTATGTGTGCTGAATGAGAAGTTTGAATTATGTTAAATGACAAAATAACCCTTCTGTCTAGAATTAGTGATGCATATATATTTTCTATTTATTTTCCTTTTTCTGAAAGATAATTTCATATGCCTAAAAGAGTCACATTACATGATAAGAAAAAATTAAGAGTTCTACGACAACAACGTTTTAAATTTAAATATTTTCCTACTAGTCTATTAGCAATTTCATTTCACAAATTATCATATATTATAGACTTTGGGTACACCATTGCGCACTATCAACTTCTCCAATATCTTCACCTCCCTCTTGTGCTTCATTGTTGAATATGGGTATCATTGTCTCATTCATTGAATAAGTCATATTGAATTTTACACTTTCTAATAAAGAAAAGGAACTACAGGCAAAACATTACTCCGTATTAGATAATCAAGAACTTCCCAGATTAGCTCCTAGGAAAAGGCAGAACATTAGCTACTACTAAAAAAATCAAGCTTCATGACTATAATTTGATACTACGTATATAAAAACAAGCTGAATTAATCCACTAAAATGCCAAACAAACTCCTTTATGACTGCAATTTGATCAGAACCACACAACAGCTATCAACAGGTATTTAGTTCAAGTATTAATGTTGTTGTGGTTGCTCTGTTTCTAGAACTTCAAAGAAAGTATTCATTTATGAAATTATTATTTGATCAGAATCATACAAATGCTATACAACATGTTAAATATAACAATAAAAAAAGGTTAGCCTGCTTTGTCCAAACCTAAATCCTACTGTCAAACTTTAAGGCCATAAAAAGTTCATGCTCTATCAAACAGAGGAAGATCTATTGAGGCGGCCAATTATGTAGGTGTTTTTGTGCTTGGTTGGATTCTTGTTGGGGCATTGGGATGCACACATTCACCACTGGTCTATATAAGATTGTAGGTAGTTTTGAATGAACTATTTCACAATGAAAGAAATTTGATATAAAAAAACAAGCTGAATTAATCCAATATGCAATTAATTTCATTTTCAGTAGTCGATTCTCAAGAAAAACAAAAAACTTCTTCTTCGTATATATATTTTTTAATTTATATTTTTTGGGACAAAACCCTCATACAATTATTTAAAAATCGTTTTATTTTACCTTAATTTGTATATCAAATATACTTTCCAGAAAATTCGAAACTAATCGGATTCTATTGAATGTCAAAATTCAGATGGAGTATATAAACAAACTCTTCAATCTATAAAATCATAAGATATATATATATAAATTTAAAGAGAATACCTAGAGGATGAAGGTAGGGGATATAGCTTTGGTCACTGCTTTTGTGATATGTTGGTGGCGATGGAATGGATTCAGAGCGCAGATGTTGGCGATGAGAGGTGAAGAAGAAGGTAAGCGATTTTGGCACTGAAGATAGGTGAAGACGAAGGCAAATGTCTACGATGAAGGCAGGTATCAGCAAAGAACGTAGCAGCGGAGAAATCAAGGTTAAACATGACACTCTAATAAAATGGGATGTCTGAATCGGAAGGACAACGAAAACGGAGCTGAACGAATAAGTCAGAAAATGCTGACCGAATAAGTCACAGCTTGTATTAAGTCCTAAGTAAACAAAAGTGTATAACTGATCGAATAAGTCACCCATTCAATTCAGTCTATTAAGTTCAAAATAAACAGGGCCTAAGTGTGTTATTTATGAGCATAATTTATATTCAATTTGATTTGTAAATTGTAATTCTTAGGTTCTAATGTGTTATACTACACTATATTGAATTTGATTGATTTGACTATTTGTGATATGTGATTCGTAGATTCTAATGTGATTTGTTATTATTAATATAAATATGTAGTTATTTAGTTAGTTAGTTAGTATTAGTGTAGTAACTAGTAATCTCATTGTTTTCAATAAAGGTAATGAAGAGATACTATAACCATGTTGAAGTAGAACCTAATCAAGATATCAAACGATGAAAATGCGTAGAGAACAATTGTACAATTTGTGGGGTTTTTTGTATTTGACTTTGGTAAAAACTCTTACTCCTATAATATTTGTTTTCATCTTTGGTTTTTTATTGCAACAGATGATATTTTATGCTTAAAATAAATTTTGTTAAATACACATTATTATATTATATTTTGACTTTTTTTGGCAATATACATTATTTAACTAAATGTGCCCCCCCCCCCCCCCCCCCCCCCCCGTGGCAAAGTTAGATCTGCCCCTGCACCATCCTCGTCGACGGCCAATGTGTCTGACCACTCGCAGACTCACTCACCGGCTGGCCAACGCCCTTCAATCTTCTTTCTTCAGCAACGATTTTTTGTCTCAATTCTCAAGGTAAGTTCAATCGCTAAACACTTTCTTTTGCAGTATGTGTTTCAGGGTTTGGTCATTTAGTTGTGATGTGTTACTATGAATGGATTTGTTCTTTTTTGTCAAGGTAATTTCAGTACTTGAACATAGTGATTTGCTACTATGAAATACTCCATACAAATCATTTGGCAATTACAATTGTAAATTATCAATTGAAGTTATAGAAACAAGGTGGGCCTTTCATTAGTTGTGTACAAATGGCTATCAAATAAACTTTGAATCACAATTGAGTGCGGCTTTCAATCACTATATCATTTAAATATGAGATTATTGAGAAATAGTTACTTTGAATAATATGTTGAACCAATATTCTTAAATGAACTTATGAAATGCATTTTCTTGTTCAGCTATGGAAAAATCAGATCTGGCAAATAATTTTTTTTGAATAATATGTGTATCATTCAATATTCTTAAATGAACTTATGAAATACATTTTCTTGTTTAATGATTCTTTGGTTCCATATGTCGAAAAAGAGGTCTTAGATTGTATTCCAAATGAGTCAATCTTACAACAATTTCAAAATATCAAAGAGCGTAGAGGAGTACTTTCTAGGTAATTGTCTTCAATACTGTAGTTTAATTTTATTTTTTTTGCTCAAAATAGTATCAGATTAATGATATTATATATGATTTGGTAAAAAAGAATATTTATAATTGCATGTAATCTCTCCCCCTCAATAAAATCTGGATATCCCACTGCACATCCATCCAGGCATTCCATATTCTACCCTGTATTATCACTCTTCGCTGCTTCAACCTCCAACCTTAGCATTATTCTCAAGTAAAATATGTCTTTTAAATTATGTAAACGTGTAACACAATTAGTAAATGTTCATATCATTAAAGAACCTTATATGGTCAAAGTTTGAAATTGAACAACAACATTACCCCAGCACCACAAAGGCTCCCACCTACGGTGGGGTAAGGGGAGTTCAGATGTACACAACCTTACCCATGTACTTTAGCACATAGAGAGTGTTTCCGGACGTCCCGTGCTGAAAATCGTGTCGAAAATTGTATTGACCGACTGATGCTTTATAACAAAGAAGCGCACACATTTTAGTGAGTCATTTTGCTTTATTCCATCATATTCACAAGCCAAAAAATAGTGCGTCTTTGGCTCCATTGGAAATGATTGAAAAAAGTTTGAAATTGAACCTCGCAAAAAAATCAAATTTGAAGATGTGCATTCAAGATCTTATTTTCAAGTTTCAGACAAGCATTTGCATTGTTACATTTTTACTTTTCAGTTTTGAGATTTATACATTTATTTCTCAATAGACTGATTTGGCTGTATATGCACACCAAATTGCTATTAGGCGTAGTTTTTTCCTGTTATTTTCATTGCTTAATCTAAGGACAATATTATGAAGAGATGGTGGATTGCTAGTGGGGAAATTTGAAATAAGCGAGTGTTTTTAGTTCAATTTATAGAGCGAGGCACAACCTCTTGTTATTTGTTACCCCTCGGCCCCTCCATGTTTTTGGATGGAATAAAATTCAAAACGCTTTGAATGTTGTGATAAGGAACCACTAAATAGCTACCATCATTGCTATTGTTAGTCTATCAAAGTATTCTGCAAACTCACATTGTACATTTTATTGCAAACAACAAAAGGGTGAAAAGTTTTCACTGAAAGCACTACCTCCATCCCTAATTTATCTCCACATTTGAGTTTGCATGCCTGGATGGTTTTTAATAGTGTAAAATGTGTGTTTGTGTGGTTGTATTTTGTTTAGACGAGAGAGTAGCAAAATCAACCACAAAATCATTTCCTTAAAAGGAAAGAGGAGATCATGGGATAAATAGAAAGGGAAAAAATGAAAACAAAAAGAGGACAGAGGGGTATATAAAGTATAGGAAAAAAACCTGGAGACCCTCCGGGAAAGGACCCACCTGCCTTTCCCCCTAGAGAGTCTACTTTTATATTTGTTAGTTCATTACTAGAGGGTAACTTTTGTCTTTGTGACTTTTCTTTAATCAGTTTTGCGGGCAGATTGGCAAAGCAAACTACATTATCATTACATTAAGACGATTAATCACACAGGGAGACAAATGGTATTCAGGAGGTTTCACTTGAATAGTCTATTGGCGGTGGAAACTTGAGGATGGCTGTTATGGATAAGGACTATGAGGATGCTATTTGCAGGCGTACCAGAGCAAGGTATTCACTTGCCGGATTCTCTCTTGATGAACTAGAGACATTCCTTCAGGAAACTGATGACGAGGATGATATTCAGAATGTTGATGATGAAGAAGAGTACAGAAAATTTCTAGCAGCAGTTTTACAGGGGGTAGAGGGAAGCTCAATCAAAGCGCAAGAAAATGAAAATGTGGAAGATGAGGATGAAGACAATGATGCTGATTTTGAGCTTGAAATCGAAGAGGCATTGGAGAGTGACCTTGATGAAAACCTGAAGGGTGATAATGTCGAGTGTGAAGCTATTGAACAGCGGCCCAAAACTAGGCTAAGTAGGCGCCGGAAATCTTCTACCGAACATAAGAAGGTTTCAGAAGCATTAAGTAGGCCATTACGGCCAATCTTGCCATATTCACCGATTCCTTCACGCACTCCTATTGCTGGGAGAGGCTTGGTGCATAGTCCCATACCACCACTCTGTCTCCGTTCACCCAATCATGAACTTATTATAAATGGATTTACTCCATATCAGATAGGACAGCTTCACTCGTTGATACATGAGCATGTTCAACTCCTAATTCAGACATTTTCTATCTGTGTTCTTGACCCTGTAAGACAACACATTGCTTCTGATGTTCAGAAATTGATCTCTGAATTACTGTGTAAGCGCAATGAAATGTTAGGACAAGGAAGGGTGCCATACCCGCAATTGTGCTTCGCACCTAATTATATTCATTCTTCAATAGCTTCTGAGGTTCCAGATACCTCTCCTTCAAGTGGACAGCTAGTATATAGCTCAATTGAACAGGATGGATGCTCACAAACTCCCCAGGGCTCCTCCTGGATGCCTTACATTGGTGAAAAAACAATTTCTGTTCTTGATGTGGCCCCTCTCAAGTTGATAGGAAAATTTGTAGATGATGTTTTAAGTGGTATGCCAAGTATGAAAAACTGAATATCAATTTTATTTTACCTCTTAAAGCTGAATATGATATTGAATGCATACTCTTTATTGGCCATTGCTGACAGTTGTACAAGAGGGCAAGAGGAGATCACTAGGAGCCACTGATGAAGATAATACTGAAAATGTTCCGCTCTTTCCTGTATGTAATAGGCAGCAATCTGCTGAAACAAATTGCCATGCTTTGTCATCTTCAACTGCAGCAAAAAAGACATTGGCTGCTTCACTTGTAGAAAGGGCAAAAAAGCAATCAATCGCACTTGTTCCAAAGGAGATTGCTATGTTAGCCAAGCAGTTCTACCCGTTATTTAACCCGGTCCTGTATCCTTATAAGGCACCTCCCGCGGCTGTGGTGAATCGGGTGCTCTTCACTGATGCAGAGGACAAGTGAGTTATTCTGTGTTCAGTGTAAATATATCGATATATTGATAATAAGATTATTGTTCACTTTTGTGCTATGGTGGTACTTGTTCTCTCCTGCCTTGCAAAGGGAAATGAAAATATTAGGTGGTCAATTTTGGCTAGTTAGAGTAGACACATCCCCAACCTTTTAATTTTATTTGTACTCTCTGCCATAGCAATGTCCATATTTATGAAAAATATTGTACTATTTCCAATTCTCAGACAAAGTTAATATCTATATATGAAATCAGATATTGATGAAGCTCTACCACTCATTACCTTTGGCTTTGAATATATGAAAGCTGTTTAATTTGTTTTTGGTTTTATAAAACTATGAAAGTTGAGCAACATGTTCGCTTCTTGAGTCGGTCAATCTGATGCTTCACATGAATTTTATGGGAGTCGTTACTGACTCAACTATAAAATGTCCGATAATAGGAATTTAAGCTTGTCTTAACGATTTTTATTTCGTCTTGTAAAAAACTACTCCCTCCGTCCCTTAAAACTTTGCCATCTTTCCTTTTTGGGACGTCCCAAAAAACTTTGCCACTTTCCCTTTTAAACAATTTTTTATGGTTTCTGTTATTTCTCTCTCCTCTGCACAAAACTCAACCACACAGTTTTTACTTTATTATTCTCCGTGCCGGTCAACTTTGGCAAAGTTTTAAGGGACGGAGGTAGTACTTAGGATGTTTTTACTTGGACTGTTTCCGGTCCCATACCAGACCAGACCAAACTTAAACAAACCAGACCGGACTGGACTTCCGTAGTTATAAAATACACAGAGACCAGACATTTACCATACCAGACCAGACCAGTTCAGACCAGACTTAAACCAAACCAGACCAGCAAATTACAGTCCAAGTAAAAACATCCTTGATGGTGTTCACTTTTATTTATTTATCTAATAAAGAAATAGTGCTTTCATTCTCATGCATCTGAAGTCTTACCATTTATGCTTTATGTACGGTAGATTACTGGCTTTGGGATTGATGGAGTACAATACTGACTGGAAGGCTATTCAACAACGGTTTCTTCCTTGCAAATCTAAGCATCAGGTGATTTTCATCTTGACCTTGTATTGCTATGCTGTTACCTTTTTTCTTATCTTTCCTTAGCTTCCTTTGTCTGTCTTATACTTCAACATTTCAAAGTGCAGTTTTCATACTCCCTTTCATGCAGATTTTTGTCAGGCAGAAGAACCGTTCATCATCTAAGGCACCTGAAAATCCAATAAAGGTAATTGCACTGTCAGTGTATGTGTAGATGTTTGGGATATGTTTCAATTTTTGCTGGACTGAATTACTTGGAAAATGAAATTTTTGCTGGACTGAATTACTTGAAAAGTTGGAATAGGCTATGTTTAAAATAGAAAAATACTTAAGGAATTACCGTTGATTATGACATTATGAAGGCTGTCAGAAGAATGAAGAACTCCCCATTGACTGCAGAAGAGTTTGCTCGAATTGAGGAAGTATGTAAAATAGTTTGTTAATCCACAGTCCCATTGTTTTGCATAAACTTTCTGATCTTATATACGTACACCGTTCAGGGTTTGAAAGTATTTAAACTTGACTGGATGTCAGTGTGGAAGTTTATTGTTCCGTATAGAGATCCTTCTTTGCTACCTCGGCAATGGCGTATTGCTGCTGGAACTCAAAAGTCATATCGATCAGATGCAATTAAAAAGGAAAAAAGGCGTTTACATGACTCACAAAAAAGAAAGTGCCAGGCTGCAACCTTGGGTAGTTTGCACCCACCATCTCAAAAACTGGTATTTTCTCCTCTACGGTTGTAGACTTTTAGTGCTCTTGTTGAATCAACATTCCCTGCCTGATGACTGCGCCTGTCATCATCTAATGGTTTAATCCCAACTATGTTTGGGACACTGAGTAATTGTCCAAAATTAGTTAAACCAACATTTCATATGCAAAAAGAGTGTCACAAGTTCACGCTAGACACTCTTCATGTCTCAACTGCCTTGCATAGTTACGCAAGTTCTGAGATGAAATATCAAAACCATAAGTCCACAATCATCAAATGGTTTTCCCACTTGAATAGAAAGTCTCAGTGGAAAGGTGATAAGTTGAGAAAGTTGTAATAATTACAAGATTACTAGATTGATAAATAAAATTACACAACCAATATTAATTGTATAATAGTACTAAAACTAGTAAAATCAGAAGTCAAGCCACTGAAATATTATTAGCACCTTCATTTACATACTTAAGTCTGGTTGTGTAACGTGTGTGTACGTATGAATGCATGCTCGGTTTGGTTATCGATAGTCAATAATTGTTGCAGGATTTTTCTCTCACAATATGTCATTTTATAAGACCAAGAGGTCCAAGACAATATTTAATGTTATTTTCATTTTGACCTTTTCTATGAGTCCTATGAAAAATTAATATTCAAAGATTATTAAATTGTAGTAAGGGGCATTATGAAGTTTTTCTCTGTTAACTCTTTAATTTTCTTAATGTGGACCAGAGGAAGTATTACAGCATTATGTGAGGCTAAATGAGTATTATATTGTTATCTCCTTTGATGGTCCATTTCCAATATCTTAGAATGACTTGAGTTAATATGTTTGGGAAGGATGATGCTGCTGATAAAAATATTGAAGAGCAGAGCAATGCAGATGATGATTGTACAGACAAAGATGGTGAAGCATATGTTCATGAGGCTTTTTTAGCAGATACAAGTGCCGACATTCCAACCATCTGTGCAAAAGCTCCTTTTCCTGATGTAGTAGTTGGTGAAAGTTGTCCTTCTCAGCCACAAGTGGTTGCTTCTGAAGTTGGAGAGGGGGGAAATGAAAATGGGTGTAGAGGCCATCTACCCCAAATCATCAACAGGTTTCATGTTGCTTTAAAGTTCTCCTAGTACTCAGTTCTATCTTTTAGGGTCCGCTTGGAATATGAAAAATGCAAGGGCGAGAAAATAGGAAAGGAAAATAGATAAGATAATTGGAAGATAATGTTTTTTTATTGGAAAAATGAAAGGTAGATTCACACTCAATACATGTATTTTAGATATGCATTCAAACTCATTTTATTTATTTAGTTCTACTCTAGAGAGACATAAAAATTTAAATATATTTACTTTGCTTAGTATTCTTTCAAGGTGAGGCCAAACATAAGATAACAACGTTCCTTGTTATTTCCTTAGCATTTTCTGGGATTCGAACATTCCCTTATGGTGCCAAACATTTTAAACTCTCCATTTGAGCCATTTTTCTCATCTGTGATCTCAGGCCATCCCCCACTGAGGTAGTGTATATGCGTCCATATCGAGCTCGAAAAAGTAGTACTGCCCGTCTAGTCAGATTAGCCCCAGAGCTTCCTCCTGTTAATCTCCCCCCTACTGCTCGTGTCATGTCACACTCTGACTCAAAAACCTACCAAAGTGCTTTACCACATACAAAGGTTTCTGCTAGTGCTAAAGTTGTGAATGCTGCAATTGAAGTTGGGAGTAACACTGCCAATAATACTAGGACTCAGCTTCACGAGGATCCTGAAGCCATCAGAGAAAGACACGTGGCAGAAGAAAAGGATGGCCCTGATCTTCAGATGCATCCGCTACTCTTTCGGGCTGCCAAAGACTGTAGCTCACTGTATTGTCCAGTAAATTCTGGTCCTGATGCAAATAGTTCACCCCAGCTAAATCTAAGTTTCTGTCGCCAAACAAACCATGCTTTTAACTTTTTGAACAAGGCTTTGAAGCCTATTGGAAAAGTGTCTACATCATCTGGTCTTAGCTTTCATCCACTTCTACAAAGAACCACTGATGGAAATTCTGTTGTTCAACCCTCTGCTAGTTCAGACCTACCAAGGGAAAGGCTTACTCAACCTATTGCAAATTGTAATGAACAACCTGATCTTGAAATGCATTTGAGTCTTTCGTCAATAAAACAGCCCACTTTCGAAAGAAGTGTTACAAGATTATCAAAAAGCAATTTGGAAACTGAAGTGAATTCTCGAAGTACTTTAAACAGACTCAGCAGTGGCCTTGATTCAAGTGCTCAACTGATAGGCACACCCTATGAAACTGATATGGTAAACAATGTTGATGACATATTGGGCCAAGGAATTGTGATGGAGCAGGAAGAGTTGAGCGACTCTGATGAGGAAGAAGAAAATGTGGAATTTGAATGTGAGGAGATGACAGATTCAGAGGGAGAGGAGGTGATACCTCAACCTATGCAGATCACTGGTGGACAAGTTAAGGTATCTTTTCATTGTTTATTTTACAGTTTTAGACCGTTTCATATTGGGCAATGCCTTTTAAGGGGTTTTGCTTTTAATTTTTTTTAAAAGCATGAAAATATCATGTTTCTAATGTAAAAATAAGATATCTTTCAAATGTATAATCTTGCTCTAAAAATTTCTCTCATTTCATATTATAGTAGAGGCCCCTGTGGCATTATGGCTTTAAGAGAGGTGCACAGAAGATTGCTGAGACTTCCACATCTTCCACCCCTTTCAAGACCATAACTTCTTGCATGGATACTTCCCTACCATTTTTTTTTCCAGAACTATCTGTTTCAATTATGGATATACCAAAGAATTCTTTTGAATAGGTTCTCAAAATAATGCTTGATGAGTAGGTTTTGGCAGTCTTTTTTGAATGGATAATTTGTTAAAAGGATATTAACTAGTAACCGTAATATTTAATGTGATTAACCTTTCCAGATGTTGTAGACTAAGCTTAACTTGAAAAGCTTCTGTTGGAGGCTTTTAGTGTGGTGTAGTTTTACCTCATTTCAACTATTAATATTTTAACCAACCTTTAGATTTTTTAAAGTACATAAGCTTTTAAGTTAAGCTGCCATACATGATGTGTGATCTTTTAAATTCAATTCGTCTGTTAGTAACTGCACACTACTAAATACATATTTTAAAATTTAGTCATTTGTTCTACTTCGTTTAATTTGCTTAACTTTTTTGTAGTACCTTTTACTTTTTCGAAAAATAGCATTAAAATCTAAAAGAATTAGCTTGTTTTGTTGAAATAAGATGTTCTGTGGATAAAAATAAGTTATGAAACAAGACTCATTTACGAGTTTGAGGGAATACTTCTGTTCTCTTTAATACTCTTTTCGTTAGGAATTTATGCCAGCTTATTCAAGTGATAGCAATTTCCTTTAGAGAAATTTATCCCTCATATCACTAAAACTTAGTGTCATGACCAATCTATGACTACTTGCTAATTTTTCCTAATGTATGAGTAGTTTGTAACCGTAGGACTAATAACTGCATGCGCATAACCGCCAGAATCATAGCTGCGTAGTCGTACGGAAGATAAAAAAACACATGGAGTCATATTTTGGGAAAACTCATGTGTTTTAGTATTATTTAGGTTTTTTCCCCTTTCCTTTATGACCTAATTATATTGTGGTCCAAATTTTCATCAGGAGAGAGGTAGAGTCTCTAGTGATGAGGAAAACTCGGATGAAGATGCACCACCAGTTACACGTGGCATTTCGAGAGCCAATTTCTGTAACCCCTCCAATGATACCATTATGACTCAGCCAGGACCCAGTTCTTCCTCTCTTAATTTGAATTCATTTCCACCCGTTTCACGAAGAACAAATTCCAAGGATGATACCACCAGACACAGTGTTGGTTCTGCTTGCAAAGTTCAAAAGCCCTCTGTTGGTTCCAGAAAACCTGGAGTGAATCTTAAAACAGAGAAGAAGCCTGCAGCAGGAAACAAGCGGAAAGAGTTGAATTCAGTTTCTTTTATATCCCCACCCAAACAACCAAGAAGACGTGCACGTAACATGGATTCTATGTCTGGGGTTGGACATTCTAAAAAAGGAATAGGATCAAGCATAGAAAGCTCAAAGAAAGACAATGGAGTTGAAATTACTTGAATCTATCTAAACCTCTCTTCAAGAGAAACCTCATTGAAAGCGCTTAGTAAAAGGATGTCTTCATCAGTTTATCCTCAGAATATAATGTCTATTTTTACAAGACATTTGAGGTTCTGGGCTGGTTCTAGACATTAGTTCCGGTGGGATGATTTTTGACAATAGTGCATACTTTCTCTCTCAAATGAGAGAGATAGAGAGAGAGAGAGAGTGAGAACATCCAAAGGGTTCATGTGAAGACAAAACTGTGTTTGGGGGCAGTGTGAACTGTGAACTCAGAGATCTTGCAATTTTGAGCTAAAAGGAATCCAGCTGCATAAGCAAAGCTCTGGCTTGTTAAAAAAGCAAAGCTCTGGCTTTACTGTGTGAATGTGCTGCTTCACGGTTTTGGTCCAGTCCTGTCCTGGATCGGTTGGCCCTGAGGGAAATTTCGTTGGACCCGAGACTGGAACCGGTAATTCTGGTTCTATACCAGTTTTGGTCCCAGTTCATATTAATATTTTTGTCTTTTTAGATAAAAAATGTGTATATTAATATTGTAAACATGTAAGCATTATATTGGAATGAATGTATTTGTTAGAGTTAATTACATATGATGTATAATTTAAACAACAAATATTTCACAATCAAATGTACTAATCAGTAACAATCAAATGTACAAATATATTAAAAAAAGAAAGTCATTTGTTAAATCATGTTTTAGAAATCACATATATATATATATTTGAAAAAAGACTTGCACTTCAATAAAACTATATAAATTCTACAAGTGTTAACTTTTTAAATGTTAAAAGTACATGGCCCCCATTCTCTATCATTGTTATTTTTGTTGTTATTCTTGAGATCTGAACCTATGGATTTACATACTACATTCTACATTTGTGTTGGAATATGTTTCAACATCAATATTTACTATTGTTAGTATTACTAGGCATGGACCGGTTCGGGCCCGGTTCGGGTCTGGGCCCAGCAGGGCCTCGGTTCAAGAAGGGGAGGCCCGGAACCGGCCCGGGTAACCCCCGGGTCCGGGCCGGGCCGGGTCTCGGTTCTAATTTTTTTTTTTTTTTGGCTTTTCCTAGTTAACCCCCAACCCTCCCCCTCACCCCCAACCCAACCCTAACCACCTCAAATGGCCCAAAATACCCAGTCCAACCCAAAAACTTAAAAAAATTCAAAAAAATAAAAAATAGGCCCGGCCCGGGCCCGAACCGGCCGGGCCGGTTCACCTTTTGAAGGGCCCGAGCTCGAACCGCCATCCCACCGGGCCGGGCCGGGTCCGCACAGTAGCTCGGCCCGGCCCGGCCCGGTGGGAGTTGGCCCGGCCCGAGTCCACCCCTAAGTATTACTAGTGTTTTTTATTATTAATATTAATGTTATGGTTGTTACTCTTGTTATTCAGATATATTTGGACAACTTATTAGGAGAAATCAAATAATTTATGCTCGATTAGGGATTCGAATTCGTATATAAGATAATTGAATTCGAAAAATTCAAATACAAATAAGAATATAAAATTTGATTCGAATTATTATCAAATTCAAATATCAGTATATTCAATTTGAATGTGAATCAAATATATTCGATTATTAATAGTGATAATATTAATAATAATAGTACTAGTAATAATAGTAATAATAACGATATAATAATTTTTAAAAGCTAACCACACCCTCAAAATGTAGCCTATATATAATATATGTATGTATACACATTCCAAGTCAATTTGTAATAAACCAGAAGTATCATAAGGAGTAAAAGTTGTGAACAAAACAAATAGTTTTATTTCAATTCGTGATTTGGATTCATAAATTATGATTTAAATTTGAAAATATAGAATATAATACGAGTACAATCAAATTTTTGGTTCGAACATCTTTGAAATACGAATACAATAACTATGTATTTGATTTGAATAATGATTGAAACATTTATTCGCTTATACATAAATAAAATCAACCATCTAGCATGTGTGTGTGCATCAACTACCCGCTATATGTGTTTGTAGTATAAACTATATATCTAGTACTCCCTCCGTCCCCCAATTAAGTTACCGGTTTGACTTAACACGTATTAAGAAAATAAATTTGACTTTATTGTAGAGTGTACTGCTTTGCACTGTTCAAACACTGTTTGACACTGTTTTAATGTAGATAATTTGTCAAATAAGAAAAGTAAGGAAGTGTGAACTTAATTTAAAAACTGCCCAGAAAGGAAAGTGGTAACTTAATTGAGGGACGGAGGAACCGGGGGAGTAGTATTTTTTAGTATCAACCATTTAAATATCTAACATAAAATTATAGTCATTTGACTTTCAAATATATACCATTATCAACTTTATGATTCGTTAACTATTCATACTGTTAAACAATTGCAAATACAAATAAAAAATAATATTCATTTCATACTCGACTTCAGATTCATATTCGAAAAAATGAAACAACTACAAATACAAAATCACACTAATCGACTCGATTCGATTTATTTACAACCCTACAACTTACTAATCGAACTCGTTTACAACCCTACAACTTACTAATCGAACTCGTTTGCAACCCTACAACTTACTAATCGAATATATGAATTCAAATAAATCAAAAGAATCACAAGAAGAAAAAAGTCAGATATGAACTGAGTGCAATAATACTTGTTCATTTACTACCCCTATATAGCACTATAGCAGACGAAATTGGTGTGCAAGGAAGAAACAATTTGGCGATTTGCGAACTCAGTAAAAAATCCTTAATGAGTTGCGGAATGACGTGAGAGATTCACCACAATGCAAGATCAACACGTCTAAGGTAGAAATTATTATTCAAAGTCAAGGGAAAGTACAAAATTAGTACAAAGTAACAAACACCACTATTTGCCTGCAAAAAGGAGTCTCTGGATATTAGATATTTAATTGTCACAAAAGAAAAAGAACATTTAATCTATCTAATACTTTACTCTAAAAAAGCCTCAGAAACTGGTATGACACGTCCCGCAGATTATAATATGTTTTTCCCTATTTTCCACCATCTTCGGGTGGTTGGGTGGATCCTAAGGAGCAAACTACCACCTATTTTTAGGTGGTTTAACTTTGTAAATCCTGACAATCCAATTTGATGTAGTGAACGCCTCTTCCAAGTATTCAAGCTTTATGTCCTTATTTCCAATTTCAACTCCTCTTGCCCGGTCATATCTACACAGCAAAAACGGGATCATCAAAAGTTATAATAATGCATTATTCAAGTAAAGAGTCATTAAAAAGTTATAAAAAAGCATGTTAAGGAACGCAAGGAAAAGATATGATGACTTTGGAAAACTTTTAAGCAAGAATAAGGAGTTACCCTGTAGGCTTGCCATATTCTGTAGTCAGCTCACCAAAGCGATAATAACAAAGCTTGTACCTAATGAAGTGATCATAACAAAGCAAGTAACTATGAGTTCTATGAAACCAAACACATTGTTTTGTACTGGACATTCTTTCAAACTCATTATTCCAAAAAGTATCTGCGGACTTGGATTATTCTCCACTTGATCATGCATAGATGTCAAAATTACAGCTCTAAAATAAGAACAGAAGTAAAGTTTTCCTGATATTGACTAAATATTAATGGGTCAATTATTCTTTCAAGCAGGACTTTAGATGATAAAACCAGAAAGCTACCGTTGTAAAATAGTTTCTTCAAAATAAAGAAAATCAAGCATTTACCAAGTTTATGCTGGAATACTTACATGAGGCAATTCAACATCTTGGGAGAAGCACCTTTGTCTACCCGATACTCTCCATTCACAAGATAATCTGGTTCCTTTATAATTGGAAACACTCCTCCTCCGATTCTTACCATCCATAGAAACCTGAAAAAAAATTGCTTCCCGTTTAATGTTTATAAAGCACAGAGATATTGCACGTAGCGTAAGCTATGGAGTAGGAGAATATAAAAAATATCATAGTCTCTCATCCTCTCCAACAGTTTATGTTTGATAAATAATAAATGCTCTGCATAAAACATAGGATGGAAGAAGCAAATAACTAACTTGTTTATATCGTCGGATGAATACCCAGTGAGACCTCCAAAAACAACCAAAACATAATCAACATCCAAAGACCTCATTATTTCATAAGCTTCATCCTCATAAGATGACATTGCCCGTCCAACCGTAGCAATATGTGTGTTGTTCCACGTGTTGTTGTCAACAATTACGGTTCTGTTTCCCATTGCAGTGATCTGATAACCATAATCCCACCAAGACATCACCTTGGCATCTTGAGGAGTGTTCTGTCTCAACCAAAAGTATGCTTCACGGTAATCATCAAAGATGATCCTATTTCCATGAGCCCCCCTTGCAGCTAAAACAATCGAGGGAGATGAATATGCCTCTGACGTCACCCATGTGCAATGGATTGCATATCTACTCAACAAATAAACAGCACCAAATAGCAATGCAATTGCACCATTTCTTTGGTAAGGCAGAGATTGATCAAGCGAGGCCTGTTGGAGGAAGGGAATGCAAGGAAAAACCAGATTATAACTCATACCAGTGCTACCAGTACAAAAAACTCTTAGAAACGTGAACTTCTTTACACATGAAGAGGAATAGGAAAGCAAACGAGCCAGAACCATTATGTAATCAGCAAAGTAAGAATTTATAATTTTGTAAAGGTACGAGTCTTGCATATCATCCATCCTAGTTACATTTTCGTTAATTGTTTGTTAACAAAAATTTTATCATACTTAACTTGGGTGGAACATTCACAGACAATTAGCTTCTTTTGTTTGAATACGACTCTATTTATGAATGGGACTCTTTTTCGGGACAGAGGGATCTTGAAGAAGTGCAGGGGGGGGGACATGGTGGGGAGCAGGTTTGTTTTGCTTTAAAAGTAGATTGCTGTGACACAAAAGACCACATTGTTCACATTATTCAAGCTGAAACTGTTTTTCCAGAGAAGAAGATCATGCAATGATTCCCTTTCATTTCCTTGACTTGAGGAAAAGAAAGGGAGAGCTCACTGTCAAGTCTGTGCAAACTATATCATGAAGAGACTCGAAACTTGACTGTTTATACCACTGTTGAGTAGCGCTTATAGTCAAACTTTCATCAAGAAACAAATGTCTAGAAACACAAAAGATGCAAATGCTTTCTCAGTTTCTTGGTAACGCAAGCTACATGAAGAATGAAATGTCCCAAGTGAGAATTGAATATACAAGGAAGTTCAATAATGCATATATATACAAGTGAATATTTATCTATAACATATTGCAGGAAGGTCTGTAAAAAGGGAACTTGTGAATGAGAGGTCATCAAATGAACTCCAGAATAAAAAAAAATCAACATATTATAAAGCTGTAGATTTACCTTTGATGAAGCCTTTCCACTGGCTGTTCCTTTTCCAGAACCACCATGAAGAGCAACTTTTGGTTTAGCCCTGATTAGTTGAGTCAAATTTTTAACAGTGGCAGAGACTGCAATTGCACTGATAAGGCATACAGCAGGTGTGGCAACAAGAATTAATCGGACCATGACTCCAGCAAAGTACATGCTAGTAAGACCATACATCACTATGAAAATTGTGGCATCTGACAACCGTTTGAAGCAGAAATAGAGTCCAGCTGGGAAGAGTATAAGTAATATGTGGAAATCAAACATAAAAGATGACCATGCTGTGGGCTGATGCTCAGATACCGATGCAATTATAGGTATGTGGTCTTTTGCATAAGTTGGATCCAGGAGAGAGTAAAAACGACCAGTCCATGGAGAGATATATCCAGAAGCAGTTCCAACTCCAAGTGCAATAGCACCCAAACCTACTGCAGTAGTCACGGTAATTCTCAGGAAAGCTTGAAACAGCTTTTTGTCATTCAATTGGTGCTTCACCCATTCCAAGAAGTAAAATACCTGCATTTAATCAGTGATTTGTGAACAAGTTCTCAGTATATAAGTAGTAGTGAAAGATGGAAGATAGAATTTATTTTGATGAACTTCTTTGCTCTAAAGGTATGTCAGGATCCTGATAATGCTATGTGAAGGAAAACAAATATACCTAGGAAAATACTAAAAAGAAGATGGAATATGATTATTTTGATTCAAAAGTTACATATCTAAAATTCTTAGTCTTTATATAACAGAAGTCAAAAACTAAAAATAGGTTTGACAGAATGCCTAAAAGAAATCCGTCGAGTTTAAGACTACATATTATTTCCCCCAAAAAAGTTTTCCTTCAATTATTTATCTACTCTATTTTTCTTCTTACTTTTTCCCTGAATGTTTTCCGTTTTCTAAATGAAACCAAATCTTTGATACTCTTTCAATCAACATATCCAATAAGAGGAGCACAGAGTTGATACCTGAAGTAAGAAAAACACCCCCATTGCAGCCATATGCTCACCGGATTGTACATGCTGAAAACCCACAAAACGAATCTGCATTGCTAGCAACATTCCTAAAATATACATGCAATTGTAAGCTACATATAGCCTCATTGAATATCTCCCAGTAATCAAGAGAACCAATACATAGAGCGGGACTAAATTAATGATGAAGACATAGCCACCCCAAGCTGAGACCATGTAGAAGTACCCAAAGGCTGAGGCAAGAGACCAGGCAAGTGAGCCTGTATTTACTGCCTTGACAAATAAATAGAAAGTGAGCAAAAGGGCAAAAATAGCAACCCCCTCATTATCATATGATCCCGCCACAGACCGTGAAATGTAGCCTGGACAAATAGCAATTAATGCTGCGGCTACAAGTCCAGCACCAGAATCCCATAACTCCTTCCCAAAGAAGTACGCCACGATAGTGGTGTTGGAAGCAAAAAATGGAGCAAGTAGCACGCAGACTTCACGAATGTGAACTGCGAACCTGCACCAGGTCATGAATTTTTAAAAACCTGTTCTACAAGATAAAATGAGGCATAAATTTTAGCTAGTCTATTCATCATTTCACCCCACCATTAAATCATTTATATACTACATGTTGGATCATGATATTCAATGAGTGACCCAAACTCTTAAATACAGTGATAAAAGCATTTGTATTTGATAGTCAAATTCTAAGAAATAAAAAAGATCATACCTTTTTAATGCAAAACGGAAATTAGAAAGAAAAAATGAAAGAAAGATTCCTAAGGTTGTAAAAAGGCCACTGTTTCTTCTTCCCTGGTATTTATTTTATTCATTATCAACCATATTTGGCCAAGAAAATCATTAAACCAAAAAAAAAATACAATCTTTTAATGATGGGCATTTATTGTTAAATCCAGAGTAATAGAAAATTTAAACCCCATAAAATAATATTAAACTAAAAGGACATCATATCTTTTTGTAGTTATTATTCTTCAACTTTGCAAAGTTGGATTCGAGAATCAGAAATACTTGATCAATAATAATTTAAATGCCAAGTTTAGCAAATGACACCAATGCCACTCCCCTGGATCATATTCTAAGTGGTTGGAATCAGATGCCTTATCCATGTAGATCTATATAATAAAAGTTCACCGAGGCACTGAGCTTCTCCACTCATATGAATCAAATGATACCAAATTGATACATTTTCAATAGAAGAAATCAATACCTGAGGAACTTAATGGTCCAATAAATGAGGGCAGCAGTGACCATGAGACCCGGGTAAAGCGTGCCGCCTATTATACGGCCGAGCGGATACCAACTCTCGGAGTCAAACCAGTTCCAGAACTCATAGAATCCCTTCTCAGTGAGGAAAAGGGTGGTCCGGTAATTAAAGTACGGATCGAATTCGTGGATCATGCTCTCGTACCTCAACACACTGAAGAGGCGCGTGATGAATGCCAGGACGTACACCAAACACAAGATCGTCACCCGAAGCAACAACTCCTTCTGCTTCGTCTTCAGCTTCAGTGACTTCAAGGCCGATTGCAGAGTCGCCGTTGACGTCGTCGCCGGAAGATCCATTGACGCCGTTCCTTTTGCCTCTTTCGTCACCATTTAGATCTGCAAATGGAGCCTGAAACCCTACAACCTGATACTAATCCTATACTAGGTACTATTCAGCTGCTATGGATCAGTGGAGAACTCCACATTACAAGTGTTGAAAGGCAAATGCTAACACTGGAATAGACGAGATAGAAGACTTCTGCCGTTCAGCCACTAATCCTAACAGTTCATTTGTGGGAATCCTCGGGTTCTCAAGAATCGGACCACTAAATATATTATGATGGCTAGAGGAAATTGCCGCTAAGGCCCATTTCCACAAGCACATATGACCAGGCCAAACTTCATTTGCAGATAATCTGATCTAAGACTATAATGCGAGGAGATATAAAATTGAAAGGTTCCAAATAAATACTCCGTATAACAATTTTCTAACCTGGTATAGACATAGACTCGTGGTTAAAATTAGTCTTCATAGGCAAATTGTAAGGGTGGGCAAACGAGTATTGGAGCCACAGTCCGATCTGGTTAATGGCTATTCGGATCCAAAACAAACAGATTCCATTTTTTGTTGCTAGAAAATGATCCAAGTAGGACTAGGTATAATTTTTTAGAACCGGGCACGTACCAAAATATTAAAGTGCTGGGTACTGTCACAGACTTATTCTCGAACCCGTGCGGCACTAGCAACACTCACTCAAACTATGCTAGTCAGCCTAACTCTTGCGGAAATTAGGACACCGATTGTGGAGAAACTTGTATAAAGGCTTTGTTGCTCTCAAGCTTTCAATGATACAAATGAGCCAGCCATGAGGGGTATTTATACTTATCCTCCTCAATGGACGGCTTAGATCTACTTGTTCTAACGGCTACAATTCAATTCTAGAGTATTCTATACAACTCTATGATATTCTAGAGTATTCTACTCTATTCTATACAAGTGTACACTAATCTACATGAGTCTAGAAGGTTCTCTTAGCCTCCAGGATTCTGCCCCTCTCTTAGGCATCTCTAGACTCCAACTCGCCTCCAGGTCTCGGTATGCCGCGGCCTATGCCACTCAATGCCGCGGCGTTCAGGAGAGTCGTGACATTCTCCCCCACTCAATCTCACGACGTCCTCGTCGTGGTCTTCCTGTAAGCCTCTATTAGATCCTTGTAGTTCCACAAGGTTAACTCGTGTTCCCAACTTGCCTCGCTGTCCGGAGCATCCTTCCACTTGATGAAGTACTCCACGTAGCTCGGATGTGCGCCTCTCCTCGGAATGACTCTATGAGCCAATATCTCTCCAACCTCGCGCTCGGGAACCTTCGTTATAGCTGTCGGTGCTCTCTTCGAAATGCCCCTACTCGGATCCTCCTTGTCTTCCTTGTAGGGCTTAAGCAAGCTCACGTGAAACACCGGATAAATCTCCAAGTGTGAGGGTAAGGTCAAGCGATAAGCAAGCTTACCAACCCGCTTCTCTATGGGAAACGGACCCTCATATCGCCGCACCAACCCCTTGTGCAGCTTGGCGAACGTATGCTTCTGGTGGGAAAGGAGCTTCACCAGCACCAAGTCTCCTTCCTCAAACTTCAAGTCTCTCCTCTTAGCATCAGCCCACTTCTTCATCTTTTTCGAGGCCTTAGCTAAGTATGCCCTCGCCATGTCGGCCTTCTCATGCCATCCCTTGGCAAATTTGAACGCGGATGGACTCGGACCTCGATATCCTACGGCCAAAGAGTGTGGAGTAGCCGGCTGCTGCCCCGTGGCAATCTCGAACGGACTTGCCCCCGTCGACTCACTCCTTTGCAAATTATATGAGAATTGAGCTATGTCGAGCAACTTTGCCCAATTCCGCTGGTTTGCACTCACGTAATGCCTTAATTACAGCTCCAACAAGGCATTAACCCTCTCGGTTTGGCCGTCGGTTTGGGGATGAAAGCTCGTAGAGAAGTTAAGCTCGGACCCCATTATCTTGAACAGCTCCATCCAAAACTTCCCGGTAAAATGGGTATCTCGGTCGCTTACGATGGTCTTCAGTATGCCCCAATACTTTACCACATGCTTGAAGAATAAGCGTGCGGCATCTTCAGCGGTGAACTTCGTAGGGACAGGAATGAACACTCCATACTTACTAAACCGATCCACCACGACCATAATGTTCCCACACCCCTCGGACTTAGGCAAACAAGTGATGAAGTCCATAGAAATGCTCTCCCACGGCTTCTCCGGTGTGGGCAACGGCTCCAGCAACCCCGCTGGCTGTTGTTGATCCACCTTGTCTTGTTGGCACACAAGACAAGTATTCACATACAGTTCTACTTCTTCCTTCATTTGGGGCCAATAGTACGCACGTTCTATTAGTGCCATCGTGCGTCTAATTCCGGGATGTCCAGCCCATCTCGAATCGTGGCACTCCTTGATGATCTCCTTCCTCAATCCTTGCCACTTCGGCACATAAATCCGATCTCCCTTGGTCATGAGCAACCCCTCTCTAAGCCAAAACTGGCGTGTCTTCCCTCGACTTGCCAACTCCATCAAACTCTTGGCCTTTGGGTCATGCTCCAGTCCCTCCTTGACTCGATCCACCAAAGGGAAACTCGGGCTTGTGATGGCAGCTAGCTCGGCTTTCCTACTCAATGCGTCGGCCACATTGTTTGTCTTCCCGGGCTTATACTCCATCACAAAGTCAAATTCCGCAAGAAAGTCTTGCCACCTTGCTTGCTTCGGCGTCAACTTCTTTTGATTGAGGAAATAACTTGTTGCCACGTTGTCCGTCTTCACCACGAACTTGGACCCCAACAAGTAGTGCCTCCATGTCCTCAAGCAATGCACCACGGCTGTCATTTCTTTCTCTTGGACCGTATAGCGGCGCTCAGTATCATTCAACTTGCGGCTCTCATAGGCAATGGGATGCCCTTCTTGCATCAATACTCCTCCTAGAGCAAAGTCTGAGGCATCGGTCTGGACTTCGTACGGTTTTGTGTGATCAGGGAGTGCTAGGACAGGCTCCTCGGTCACAATTCTCTTCAACTCCTCAAAAGCATGTTGGCACCTTTCGTCCCACTTCCATGTTACCTTCTTCTTCAATAGATCAGTGAGTGGAGATGCTATAGAAGAATAGCCTTGAATGAACCGTCGGTAATAGTTTGCAAGTCCAAGAAAGGATCGTAACTCGGTCACCTTCTTGGGCGGCTCCCATCCACATATTGCCTCGATCTTCGCCTTATCCATCCGGATCTTGCCCCCTCCAACAATGTGCCCAAGGAACGTCACCTCCTTTTGAGCAAAGGCACATTTCTCCTTCTTCACATAGAGCTAATTCTCCCTCAACTTCTGGAACACTTGCCTTAGGTGATCAATGTGCTCCTCCAAAGTCTTACTATAGATGACTATGTCATCCAAGTAAACCACCACGAACTTGTCCAAGAGCGGCTCAAATACCCGATTCATGAGAGTGCAAAACGTAGCTGGAGCATTCGTGAGTCCGAATGGCATTACAAGGAATTGGAAGGAACCATACCTTGTCACACATGTGGTCTTCGGCTCATCTCCTTCGGCAATTCTTACTTGATAGTAGCCCGACCTCAAGTCCAACTTTGAGAACCACTTTGCTCCTCCAAGCTGATCGAACAAGTCCACAATGAGTGGAATCGGATACTTGTTCTTCACCGTAATCTTGTTTAGCGCCCTATAGTCGATGCACATACGCAATGACCCATCATGCTTCTTTTAGAACAACACGGGTGCGCCATAGGGTGCCTTGGATGGTTGGATGTATCCCGCATCCAATAAATCCTTCAACTGCCTCTTCATTTCTTCTAACTCTGGTGGTGCCATCCTATATGGCACACCTGCTGGTGGTGTAGACCCGGGGATCAACTCGATCTTGTGGTCTACGTCTCTCTTGGGCGGAAGTCTCTTCGGCAACTCGGACGGCATCACGTCCTTGAACTCCACGAGCACCTTAGCCACTCCCTCCGGCATATCACTTGTCGACATTGGTTCTTCCTTCAAGATGGCTAAGTATGTAGGTCGCCGCTTCCTCATGCCCTTAGCAAGTTGCAAGGCCGAGATTTGCTTGGATTGGATCCTCTCCTCCCGGGATAGCTTTACCATGCACGTCTCGCCTTCCTTCATTATGCACATAGTGTTGGCAAACGGGATCGGTATTGCCTTCACCGAATCCATAAACTCCATGCCCAACACGATAGGATAGTCGTCCATAGGAACGACCGAAAAATCAATTAAGCCACTCCACTCGCCCAAGGTAACCCTAACCCCACGAGCCACTCCATAGATTGACTTAGGCTGTGAGTTAACAGCTTTCAACCAACCATGGTCTTCAACATAGGGGATGCCCAATCTCTTTGCCTCCTTAACTTCTAGGAAGTTGTGTGAAGCACCAGTATCAACAAGAGCTTTAGTTGTTTGTCCACGTATCTTAGCTTCCACGAACAAACGCCCCTTCTTCTCCGTCTTGGTCTCGGTTACCTTGGCCTTAATGGCGTTGAGAATGTGAAGGGAACCGACCATGGCTTCCTCCCGTTCTCGTTCCTCCCTTTCTTCAACTAAGGCCGAGAGCTTGGCCTTCTTCGGACAATCCTTTGCCTTGTGTGGCCCATCACAAAAGAAGCACTTCAACGGTCTCTTCTCCCATGTCTTGGTCTCCTTTGCCCCCTTGCTTTTGTCAAAGTGTTGGAAACCCTCTTTGTGCGGACGGTGGTCTCTCCCACTCTTTTCCTTGCCCTTCTCCTTAGTCGGTGGCTTCACCTTTTCCGGCTTCTTGAACTCCGCCAAGGACTCAGCAATAGCAATGGCAGTGTCGAGATCTTGGGCCCCACGCCTTTGGACCTCGATCTTAGCCCAACCTTGCAACCCATTCGTAAAAGCAAAGAAAGCTTCCTTATCAGGATAGTCAGGGATATCTAGGAGTACCTCAGTAAATTCCTTCACGTATTCCCGCAGGCTTCCCTTGTGCTGTAAGCGCCTTAGCTTAGCTCTCGCCTCCTCTTCCGCATTCATAGGGCAGAACTGTTTCTTGAGTTCACTCTTGAACTCCTCCCACGTGTTTATAGTGCAAAGACCCTTCTCTTGGTCCCCGTACTTCCTTCTCCACCACAACATGGCGGTATCCTCCAAATACATGGTTGTCGTGTCGACCTTCTTGGTATCATCAACAATACCAAGAGCCTTGAAGTATTGCTCCATACTCCACACAAAGTTCTCTATCTCCTTAGCATTCCTGGACCCTTTATATGTCTTGGGTCTAGGAACATCAACTTTAGAGGGAGTAGGACTTACCTCACTCGACGATGTGCTTCCTCCTTGCACGACCGCCTTCTTGCATAGGACCAGCTCTTCCTTGGTTTCCACCA